TAGTCAGCTATGGCAGTGTTAAGAGTAGGCTTCCCTTTAAAGCACTCAGCAATGAAAATATTTAACAGCAAAATTATCATCGCTCTACTCTGTTGCATCCTTGTGTGCCTGGTCAAACTCCAGTTAGAAGTTGTATATCTACAATGATTATATTTAGGGTATCATGGTACGCTTTCAAGGGAGGAGAAAAGGAGAGTGACCTCTTCCCTATTTTAAAGTCAACCTACATTCACTTTATGAGCGGAGAAAGGGTGTAGGGAGATGAGGCCAGAGTCTATTTCTAATTTCAGAAACCAGCAATGAATAAAACCTTACACATTTAACTTTTTCCTTCTCTTAGGGACAAGACAGAGTAATGTAGTAAAACAAGTTCCTGACTAGGAAATCAAAAGACCCAACCAAGTTCACTTCAACTCTGCCTGAACAGCCGCTACTTCTGGTAAATAATTTTTCTTTTCTGGGGTTCAGTTTCTTTTCTGTAAAATGGAGGCCCAGACTGGATCTTTAAGTTCCCTTCAACCTCTAAGATTTTATGATCAACAGTCTCCGAAATAAGGCGTTTCAAGAAGATAGCCTACATTTTTACCAGTAAAATGGGATGAGAGCAGAACAAGGGTGTTAAGGAAAGGGGGGTTGACCCAGTCAGAATGGTGATGATGTCATCTTTTATAGATACCCTGTAGATTTCTGGTCTTCAGTCTAAATTATACTGAGGGAATAGTTTTTTTTAAATTGAGCTTATATATAGCTAGCTTGCTGTCTTATATTTAAACAATTTTAAACTTAGGATTTCATTAGTATAGGAAACTTCCAGTTAGAAAACTCCATTAAAACAGATGAGCAACACTCTATACTTAAAAATACTAGAGAGCTGCCCAATGCAGGCAGTATCACAGCCAATGTGTATTAGAGGTAAAACTTGACTTCAGGTCTTCCTAACTCTCCATCTACTATGCTATGCTGACTCTCTGTGGTATATGCAAACAATATCCCAGAAACAAAGACTACCTGAAATAGCTTTATTATTTCTTTGGTTCATACATGGAACACATTTACTAATAATAGCTCCTATGTTTATACTGTGTTTGACAGAGAACTCAACAAGGCAGGTGATTCAAACATTTCCTTTGTTTTACACATTAGTAATTGAGGTTCATAGTGGTTAAGCTCCAAGTAGCTCCCCCAGTCACACAATGAGAGTCTCATACAGTAAAGAGGAAGAAAAAAAAGATTTTAAGCTTCTGGTTACTTTTAACATAGATTTCCAACCAAAAGTTCATGATTTACTAAGTAGATTTACAAAATGGCTGCTTGGCCAGTATAGGAGGCAGCACTGTGCAGTAGAAAGTTGTGTGGGATTTGGAGTCAGAACGTCTGGCTTCATGTCCTGACTCTGGCTACCTAATGTTGTGACTTTGTGTTTGTCACATAACATCTCAGCTTCTTCAAGTATAAAATGAAGGGATTAGACAATATGAACTTAAAAGTTGCTTTCTTCTCTGCCTCTATTCTCTTCTTGCCCTCTCCACCCCCAATTTCCAGCTGGGAAAACAGTGATTATTCCTTCTCTGTTCTCATCAGGGATCAGCATTCTACTTCAGTACCTATGCCTTTTTACTAAAGATCACACATTTCAGGGATATGAAATGTAGCTTCACCTCAGTAAGAAAAAACAACACAAAATCTATGATCTCTTAAGTTTTTAGATGAACAGATCATAAAACTTGACTATTCCATTCGAATTTATTGTTGTTACATATATTTTTCAAATAAAAAGCAATGTGTCTTTTTGTGTGTTTCAGGTTCAAGAAGTTAATGACTGGAATAGTGTAACCATACTTAAACAGGAAAATTCACATATAAATTATCTAAGTTCATTTCTTTTCTTTTTTTTGGATACAGAACGAGATGTTTTACTGGGCCAGCTCCAGCCTGGTAAATAAACAAGAATACGCTTGTTTCTACAACAGTGACCTAGGAAAGCTGAAGAACTTCCTAAGGTTCTATGTGTCTTACAGTGGGGGAGAAGAGAATTCATACCCACTTTCCCTCAAGTTTAACAAGTTGCAAAGTGGGGTGGGAAATTGGAAATCAAGGTACAGGTAGGGGCTGTGAGTTTGGACACATGGTTAAAAACTATCTTAGTCCCCAGGGCTACTTCAGAGTTCCTACTCATCTTTAAAGCCTCTCCAGTTCTGACTCTGAAGTAGCCTAATGGAACCATTAGAGATATCTTAGGCTGTAACAGGGAGTTGGAGGCCTCCATTACTAACTCTAAAGTCGGGTTAAGATGGTACTTGGGTAGAGGGAAAAAGGGAGGGAGAAAACGAGAAAAAGAGGATAAAGTTCAAAATGTCTTTCTTCTGATCCGAGTCAGAAGTTTCAATATTTCCCTAGAGCACCTTTCTAAAGAAGCCATTACAGCCTATTTTTAGGACAATGCTCTTAATAGTTTGGATTAACAGTGTATACAGACCTGTGCAAGTTATATCACCAACGGTCACTCTGAAGGTGAAACTCGGCGTATTTGCATGTCCATCAGCTCTTTCAAATTCATAAACGGGTACATTATTGGTCTTCATGCCATACTCATGTAACACCTGAATTGGTGTTTTCCCAGGTTTGGCTGTGATCATTTTCCCCAACCTGCATGAATGAGAAGGTTGTCTGCTAGAAAAGCCAAAGGGGTGTGTGTGTGGGGGAGGGCATGAAAGTAGATATTTTAAGTGTCAAGTGGGGCCCTAAAGCTAATCGAAGGGGATTCACTTTTCATTCTTACAACTAGAAAACGAGGTGGCTGTATTTTCTTCTGAGTTCTGAAAAATGAAGATGGCATTGGGAGTGGGGTTATTCTCCAATTTCCTCCGCTGGCAGCTGCAGCAGCAGGGATCAGGCGAGGTGAGGGAGGGGGAAGGTTAGGGAGGGTCAGAGAGAGAAAGCCCGCTGGCTCCAGCAGCACCTGCTCAGGGAACGAAACGATCTCCGATGCACCTCGGGCGTCCTCTCTCTCAAGCCTATCAGGGCTCAGGTAACCCGAGCTGCCTGGGGCTTCTGGGATACGACAGCAGCAGCTCTTCCAACCTGACCCACCCACGGCGCTGCCTGGGGGTGGAGTGGGGGTTGGGATGGGGGAGGGAAGGAGTAGAGCCCTGGAGGGCGGGGCCTCTCTCAGCTCCAAGAAGTGGACGAGGGAGAGAGAGGGAAGAGGAGGGAGGAGTACTATTACCCAGAAGGCACCTCGGAGGCCTCCTCGTCCTCTCTCGCCCCCTCCTCTCCTCCCCCGCGAGGCCCTACCTGGTGTCTCACGGGCCACGCCGGGGCAGGCTAGGGCCCCGCCCGCGGACTGACCTGAAGGTGCCGCTGTCCTGCGAGGCCGGCGGCGAGGTCGCGGTGTGGAGGCCGCCCTGGGGCATGTTCGGCCGTGAAGCGGAGGCTGGAGCCGCCGGCGTGGCTGGGGCCGCCGGGGCGGCGGCGGGGGGGGCTCGGGGCCGGGGATTCGCTCTCCTTCCTTTGGGCGGCCCGTCCCCAAGAGGGGCCTCTTTGGCCCCCGGGGCCGCTGTCGCGGTCGCCGTCGCGGTCGCCGTGATGGTCGCTTCCCGTTCCCCCTCCGCCACTGCCGCTTCTGCTTCTGCCTCAGCTGCCTCTTGTCCCTCTTCTTCTCCTCCTCCCCCCCTCCTCCTCCGCGTCCCTGTTGTGGTTCCGGGGGGCGGGGGAGAAGAGGAGGAGCCGATGGCGCAGCCCCTCTCACTCCCCCCGCCGCGCCCGCACCTGCTGCTGCCGCCGCCGCCGCCGCCGCGGCCTGGGCCCCCCCGCCCGCTCCTAGCAGCCGGCCTCAGCCGTCGGCCGCTCCCCTAGACCTCGGCCCCCTAACTGACCTTCCCGCAAGTTCGCGAGCGCGTGCTGCGTGCGGTCACTGACCCAACGCCCCCCGCCACGGGCCCGCATGCCGGTCCGCGAGCGGGGTCATTCTCCTCCATCCGGGCATTTCTTGCTCTGCCTGAGGAGAGGGCGCGTCAGGGCCGCCATAGTGGGAGCACTCTGGTCCCCCTTCTCCCCGAGACCCTGCAGAGTGGGCCTCCCGTGGGCACGCAGTCGGACGTCCTTCCTTCCCTCCTCTCGCTCAAACCCCACGAGTGCTTTCCTTCTCGAGATGGGATGGAAGCATGTCCGAAGGACAAGTGATCATTCTCTTACTAAAAAATGACACCCCCTCTTCCTGTACAATCAGCGTGTTCCCGAGTCCCAGACGATGTCCTCAGGCCAGGGAGGCCGAACAAATAACTTAGCTGGCTCCGGGCAGTGGGGGTCTGGGGGCTTGTACGGCCACATACCATGACGTCATGTCAGGGCTGGTACAGGGAAGACCGTCCATCAAACAAGTGCCCGCTCGGAGCCGCACGCCGAGCTGCACGTTGGGGATGCAAGTACGGAGGTTGAAACGGTCCCTACTTGCAGCGCGCTTCCATTTCTAATGAGTCAGTTTTCACCCTTCCCTCCTCCTTCGCCTCCTCTTTCTCTTTCACGCCCTCGGGGGTTTGCAGGCGACATACCTGCTTGATTCATGTTCGAAACTGCTGCGTTCCCGAGCCCCGCTCCTGGGGCTCCCAACTAACCCGCAGAGACATCCCAAACCCTGAACATTACAGAGATTTCCTCTCTCTTTCCCTCTTTTAAATCCTTGTCGTCGTGGTCTTATTATTACCTGAGGCTGAACAGAGTGCATTTAAGCCCTGATTTAGAAGAGGTTTTGGAAACCAAGGCAGCACTCTCCATGGGTCGTCCCAAAGAAGACAGCCACTGTTTTAAAATAACTCGCATGGACTCGCGTCCTTAGCATCACTCTACATTTGGGTTGTGTCCCAGCTGTGGAAGATTCACAGATCGTACCTTCTGGCCCCAGATGCTTGGAGGGAAATGCTCTCCCCTGGGCCTCACCTCTTCACCTCCGACCCTCCCCCCACCCTCAGCTTGGAAAACAAAAATAAACTGACGAAGGAAAACAAATACAGAACCCCATTATAACCGGACTTTTCATTCTATGTCTACTTAAGCTTAAATCCAGAGAGTAAAAATTTAATATGAAATGGTGAGACAATAATATGAATCTTGGGACTGTTCTTAAGTCAATAAAAGGATCCACCATGTGCTAAAAATGTTCATGTAATATGAATACAAATATCCCCCCATACATTTTTTTTTTGTGTGGAGAACAGGGTAAGATGAGATACATAAGAAAAAAAGTTTTAAAATTGCTCCCAAATGATTCTTTTTCTGTTGCTCAAAATGGCATGACTTACTACCCAAACTGGCATCTTTAACTTGTAAAGGAATTTCCTTTGGACCAGTTCCACTGAAGATTGTATCCAGGGGTAATGCTTGTCATTTTAATCTTCAGGTCTTGCCAATGTATCCTTCAGAACTGATACTGTATTGGACCCGTTGCCCTGATCATACTTCCTTAGCTCTGTCCCTGACAAAAGACATTATTACCACTTAATGTCAACTTCTCCTGTTAGCTTTTTTAGTCATATAGAATGGTGGTGGTGGCACTTCAGCCTTAACTTTAGTATATCGCTTTACACTTGATGTATAATTCATTATGCTGAGTACATGAAGCTGAAAGGGAGCAGTGAGTTCTGCACACTGGAAAGTAGTTAGTGAAAACAGGTTATTTTGCTTTTCTAATTAAGGTATCTAACCTCATTTAAAAATTCATCCTTGTTTTAATTTTGTGCATGGTAATTTTCTTTAAAATACTAGCCTTGTGAATATGGATTTAATATCTGGAAGTTGCAGTTGATGAAGTGTTTTATCATTAATATTATATTAATATGTTTGCTGCTGCTACCAAGAGCTTTGTTAAGCAAGTTGGAGATGGAGGGAGATTAGTTCCTGTTCCAAGTCTCAGTGAAGCTGACAAATATCAACCTTTGAGCCTTGTGGTTAAGAAGAAAAGATGCTTTTTGTTACAGAGAGCTAAATTTACCTCAACACCTTTCACATTGAACGATATTCTCCTAGGAGACAGAGAAATTTCAGCTGGTAAGTTTTTCAATAGCTTTTAAAAACCTGTTTTTAGAATAACTACTCATTGTACTGTATTAGTAACCTAAATACAGATAGCATGTTACAGGAGTAGCATGATTTTTATTGATAGTCAGATTTTCTGTTGAAATTGGTGCAGTGATATTAGTAACAGAAAGAATGCTTCAAATTTACATAGTGTCTATTCCAATAGGAGCTCAAAACACTTCCAAATCTATTAAAATGCATGGAACTTCTCAATCTGGAATCTCTTCCCCCACCTCTCCCTACTGCTTTGTCTTTTCTTATATATGTACTGTTGTACCCTTCCCTCCCCCACTGAGTAGATGGTAAACTTCTTGTTGGCATGGACAATTTTCATTTTTATCTTTGTGTGCTCCCTGCTTATCACAGTGCCTGGCTCATTTTAAGTGCTCAGTAAATGTGTACTGAATTGAATTTTTAATAAGCTGTTTTGCCAAATCAATTTGCACATTTCATTTTACAGTAATATTAGCTAACGTTAATTTAGTGCTTCAGAGTTTACAAAACACCTTACATATTTTATTGAATTTGGTCCTCCCAAAAGCCCTGTGAGGTCAGTGCTATTATTAGCTTTATTTTATAGGTAAGGCAACTAAGAATAAGAGGGATAAAGTAACTTGCCATTCCTTACTAGCCGAAGCTGGTTAGTATCTGAGGCAGAGTTTGAACTGGTCTTCTTGCCCCTCAATCCAGGGCTTTATCACTATGTCACCTAGCTACTTCACAGACTTAGACACTACAAAATGGTTGTGGTGCTTGTGGCATTATCCCCTTAAGGTTGTGGTATGAACTAAATCAGATGATGAAAGGGATTTCATTATCCTAAGAAACTTCTTCTCATTAATGACACTGTAAATAAATCCTAGGAAATTACTTAAGTCATGTAGAGGTTTGATGATTTACGTAGTATCATACAGATACTATAACTTATTATATTAAACGTACGGAGGCAGCCAACATGGCTCAGTGGATATAGAGATCCAGTGCTGGAGTCAGAAAGACCCGAGTTCAAATATGACCACAAATATTTAGTAGCTGTGTGACCCTGAGCAAGTCACTTAACCTCTGTTTGCTTTAATTCACTGGAGAAGGAAATGGCAAACCACTCCAGCATCTTTGCCGAGAAATCTCTATGGACAGTACTGGCATGCTATGATCCACAGGGGTCACAAAGAATCAAACGTGACTCAACAACAACAACAACAACAACAACAACAACAACAACAACAACAACGACATACAGATAATAAGGATCTAGAGGCAGAATTTGAATACAGGTTATCCTAACTTTGGGCTGCTGGGTGGCATAGTAGATAGAATGCTAGGCCTGTAGTCAGGAAGACCTGAATTCTAATCCAGCCTTAGACACTTACTAGCTATGTGACCCTGGGCAAGTCGCTTAATGCTGTTTACCTCTGTTCCTCATCTGTAAAATGAGCTGGAGAAGGAAATAGCAAATCACTCTAGTATCTTTGCCAGGAAAACCCCAATTAGGGTCACAAAGAGTCAGGCATGACTGAAAAATCCTGACTTCAAATAAGCACTGATATGCTGGGCCATATTGCTCAAGTAGAAGCAAAAGCACTTTGAAATGAGGAAATTATCATATCCTTATTTCTACTACCACTACTGTTATTGTTTTCATCATTTAAGTTGTTATTGATATACAGAGGTACCCTATTTTAGTTAATTGAATTTTTCTAGACGTAGTTGAAACATAGAGGAGTTTGAATTGATATTTTAACAACAGATTGTTACTTATAAAACATTTCCACTGCCTAATCTCTTTTCATGGGACATTTTCCTGGGCACAAAGAAAAGAATACTATTTATCATTTAACTGTATAATCTACTGTAAATAGAAATGATATTTTGAAATTTTGGTTTAAATCATTGCCATTACTATTATAATTTATAACCTTGGGGTTTTAAAATGTTTTACTTTTAAAATAATCATAGGAGGTGGGTAAGAGACATTTAAAACACAACAGTGTTCTTTTATTAAAGGTATCTCATCCTATCAATTACTGAATTATGAAGATAAATCAGATGTTTCCCTCTATGGAAGACGAGGAAATCATATGGTGAATGATGTTGGGATTAACGTTGCTGGATCAGATTCTATTGCAGTAAAAGCTTCATTTGGTGTGGTAACTAAGCATGAAGTAGAAGTAACAACATTGCTCAAGGAACTTACTACTAGGTTAGTATGATAGTTTTTGATGTATTTAAATAATCCAATTAAATATTTGAATTTTACAAATTTGGCTGCAATACATTTAAAATGTGTGTTATATTTTACAAAGCTAAGCAATTTGCTCTTTAAGTTCATAATGCTACATAGTTTCAAAAATTGTTTGAAAAAAATTCTTGATTGGTCCACAAAATGTGCTTTTCTCAGGGCCACATTCGATAAATGCTACCTCTTACTTTCCTTTTTTTTTTATTAATTTATTTTGATTGATCACCAATCACTTCATAAGCTTTTGAGTTTTAAATTTTTCTACCCCTCCCCACCTTCCTCCCAAAGATGGCACACAATCTAATATAGGCTATACATATACATTCTTATTAAATATATTTTCACATTAGTGATGTTATAAGTAAGAATTAGAATTAATAGGATGAACCACCAGAAAGAGGAAACAAAATACAACAGAAGAAAAAAAATAGCAAATAGTATGCTTTGATCTGCATCCAAACTCCATAGTTCTCTCGGTAGATGTGGATAGCATTTTCCATCATGAGGCTTTTGGAGTACCTCTTACTTTGCTAACAATACTCCTTTCCAGATTTTTACTTGTCTCCATGTCATTTGATAGTAGGCTCTTAATCAGTCAAGCTGTAAGCATTTATTAATCATTTACCATATAATAGGCACTGTTAAGTGCTGGGAAACCCCGCCCCTCCCCAACAACAATAACAACAGCAAAAACCCAATCCCTTTCTTTGAGGACCCTACATCTAGTTAGTGCTTAATACCACGTGGCATGAGATGGCTCAATGGATAGAGGGCATGACCTGAGGTCAGTAAAATTCGTCTTCCAGAGTTTAAATTCAGCCCCAGACACTTCGTAGCTGTGTGACCCTGGGGAAGTCACTTTACTCTGTTTGCCTGAGTTTCCTCATCTGTAAAACGAGTTGGAAAAGGACTTAGCAAATCACTTTATTATCTTTGCCAAGAAAACTCCAGAATGGGTTACAAAGAGTTGGGCACAACTGAAAAACTAAACAACGACAATTTTTATTACTGACTGACTTTCTGAAGAGGAAGATGAACTGAATTGAAAATAAGAACCTGCTTCGTGCAAATATTAGGAAAGTTCCTCCACATAGACAGATTTCTGCAAAAAACAAATTTTAAAAGGTTCATAGATCTAGAGTTGGAAGGGACATTAGAAGCCTTCTGTTCCAACCTCGTCATTTTACAGATGAGGAAACTGAGCTTCAGATGGGTTAAATTACCTGCCCAGGCTCACAGAGGTAATAACCAGCAGAGTCAAAATTTGAATCCAGGTCCTTTAGGTTGTAAATCTAACTCATTTTCCACTATTATGCCACATTGCCTCCCCATATCATATAATCCAAGTCCAAAAAATTAGAAAGGAGAGGTATTGTCATGGTACCTGACATGGTACCTGTCAGCACAGTGCTGCAGCATAGTGGCTAGTCAGCAGTTTTTTTTAACTTGCAATGCAAGGGAGATCATTGGAGTCATATTGATGAGTACTCTCTCTACCAGATTTTCCTGTAGGGATTCTTTTATATGTGACAGCAACAAAAATCAAATAAAATGCTTACTTTGTTCTGATTTGTCATACTAATTATATAATGATAATAATATCTAACATTTATATAGGGTTTACTCTGTGCCAGGCACTGTGGTAAGCAGTTTACAGTTATTATCTCCTTTGATCCTCACAATGACCCTCAGAGGTACTGTTAGTATCCCTGTCTTACAGATGAGGAAACGGAGACAAAGACGAGGAATACATGAGAGTACAGAAAAACAACACAAAACAAAAACCTCATGGTTAAGAAACAAGGTATGAGGGATCTATGGTACAGACAAATATAGATAATATATATAAGGTACAGGCAACTATACTCTCTTAAATATGCTAAACTTAACTATTGTTAAGAAATATCTTTTCAAACAAGGTATAGGGAGGTTTTTTTTTTAATAGGTAAGCATTTTAAATAGGTTATACATTTTGCTTTCCCAGCAAACTACAGCAGTCTGGTGGTTGTTTAAAACCAACATTTGTAGTTAGTTAAACTCGTTTTAAAGAGTTTACTGAATTTCTTTTAGTCATATTGATTCCTTTTAGGCCTGTTCACATTGTTTTATATCTCAGGCAAGTAGACTTTTATTCATTTTTATGTCTTTATAATTATGAATAATTAGAAACTAAATAAATGTAATTAGATAATAAGAATACCTGTGGATTTTTCTTTTCTTTATTTTAGAAAAATTAACTTTGATCACTGCCTAATCCGTCAGTCAAGGAGTAGTAGAAAGGCAGTATTGTGTGTGGTCATGGAAAGTATCAGAACAACACGCCAGTGTTCTTTATCTGTGCATGCTGGAATGCGTGGGGAAGCAGTGAGGGTAAATATCCTTAAAAGACTTCTCTTACTAACGAAAAGATTGTGGTGTGTATATATATATTTTAAATCTAGAAACTAGTTTTTTTAGTGGTAGTAGGACAAAAGAATAGTTGTAATAGCATTTTTTGCTAAAATTTTGATAAAAAATGTGGAATTTCTCGAATTGGAATTTATATTTGTGCATCAAACTTGTGGGGAAAAAAATCTCCAAGTGAACTTGGATTCTAAATTCAAAGAATTTAATGATGCTTAAATACCCATCCTTGTGAAATAAAGTGCATATAATTAAAGACCATCCTTTAATCACTGAAATGGTGCTACATGAATGAAAGCAGTTGTTTGGTTTCAAAGGGTATGTTTTTCTTTTTTAGTCATACAGATTATACTTTTGAAACAAAGGATTAAGGTTATGTTGTTTATAGGAACCTAAAATATTACAATTTTCTATAGTAATATTTCTTGTGACCAAACTTACCTCATTCAGAGTTTAAGCTTTTGTTTTAAAATAATTTTACAAAGTTATATCTGTTTGTCTTTCTTTAGATCAGTTATATTTCTTCTTTATCTTCATTTAGTGAAGCATAATAGATAATGATTTGATTAATTTGATTTTAAAAGAATTGCATTTTTAGGAATGAAAAGGTAAGGTTTTGGTTAAACTTTATCTAAATCTTAGTAAAGTGAAGCTTTGTCTGCTTGGGACTACTGGTTTGTACTGAAACGGAAACGGAAAGTATTGATTTAATCTATTTAGTTTAACAAACCATTCACCTAAGAATTAGAACTTTCACTGGCCTGAAAGACACAAACAGGCTTTTGGTTTAGAATAACTTTTGAAGAACTGCCTAAATCAGAACAGTTCCACAGGTCAGTAGGCTAAGGAGACTGGAGCAAACTTTCAGATAATTTATTTGATTTGCATTTGTAATTAGACATAAAAGGGATGAAGGGGACTAAGTAAGTATTCAGCTCTTGGAGAGCATTATTATTGCATCGAATTTAACATTATTAGAACTAACAGTAATGTGAATGAAATAGGGGTAAAGTATTTCCTTCCTTGAGATAAATCACCATTTCCAAGTAGAGAATTCTTGTCCTTAGAAGAGCCAAATAAAACAAGATAGTTCTTTACTTTAAAAGTAGGTTTATCCTAACAATAATAATAATAATACTAAAAACCTTATCTAGAGAATTGAACAAATGCTATTCCTTCAAAGTTTCATTCACACTCAAAAAATTTCCCTTTCATGATTGACTCCCTACTAATACATGTTATTTCTTTTTTGGAAATTAGTTTCACATTATTGATGAACAAAACCCAAAAGGAAGAGACAAAGCCATTGTTTTTCCAGCACACACAACTATAGCTTTTAGTGTTTTTGAACTTTTCATTTATTTGGATGGTGCCTTTGGTAAGTAATCTGTTTGTGAGATATTTACATATTTATGCTTTCCAAATAAACTATTTTAACTCAGAAATTACTTGGCAATTATTTTATATGAAAATGAAATCATTAAAATGGGGTAATACTTTCCAGAAGGAACAATCTTATGCAGAGATGGCAGTAGGTGACTTTTAACTAGTATGGGGATCCCCCCCCTTCCTCATAAAATCTTTCTACCACTTGCTTGCTTTATATCTTAAAGCAATTGTATTATATCCTCCAATCAGAGGTAAATGTCAAAAATGACTGGAAGAAGCAACATGCTTTTTTTTTTATTCATTAATTTTTAGTTTTCAACAATCACTTCCATAAGCTTTTGAGTTTTAGATTGTTCTCCACTTCCCTTCCCCCAAGACTGCATGGCAATCTGATATAGGCTCTACATATACATTCCTATTAAATATATTTTCATGTTAGTCATATTGTAAGGAAGAACTAGAACCAATAGAAAGAACCACAAGAAAGAGGAAACAAAACAAAACAGAAGGAAAAAAAGAGAAATAGTATGGAAGAAGCAACATGTTGAACTACTATTACGCTAGGATGTAAATAACTTATAAAAGCAGATTTTGATGGAAGGGTGTAGGGAAGGGTAAGAAAAAAAAGAGGACTGAACACCTCAAAGGATAGGAAGTGTGTTTGTTGGGGTAATAGGGAGAGATGAGGGGAAAGTATAGAAAAGAGAGAATTCCGTGACCTTAAAGATACTATGTTATGTTTGCCTAGGGCTGCTGGCCTTGATTTCCAGGTTTCTAGTACAAACCTTTAAAAAGATTTTTTTTCAAACTAACAACTTCAAATGACTTAAAGGACATAAAATAAATAGTCTAGGAAATTTATTTCTAACCTAGACATTTGGGGCTATTCAACTTAAGTCTGTGAATGTCAGTTTTATATTTTAAAAGTCCTTCAAAAATAATTTTAAGATACTTATTTGTTGATAAAACTGTTTACTTGCCTTTTTATACTCCTTTTTCCTAAGCAGGGTATGAAACTAGGTAGAAGCAGTTGTGAACCTGTACTTTTATAGTATAATGTTTGACAAAGGGAATGCTCTGCACACAATAGGTACTCAACCATTAAGTGTTTAAATTTAAACTGTTGATAAATGTTTAAATCTTCCTGTGTTGAGCTACTCATGACCTAGGTATTTTGGATGAACAGGTAAAAATACCTCACTCAGCTTTCCTTCAGTTTAGAGTAATTGTGGCATAAAATATTCCTATGTGATAAAAAACTAGGTTTACAAACTGCATTTATTTATCTTATCTGTTCCTCACAATAACTCTGAAAGCTAGGTATAGGGTTATATCAATTAAATTGAGGTCTAGAGAGAGAAAGTGGTTTACCCATGGCAAAATAAGTAATCAAAATCAGAATTAGACATTCAGGTCTATCACAACTCCTAGCTCAGCATTCCTTTTGCTACTCCAGACTGCTCTTTAAAATATGCAAAATGTAGGGCTTGAGATATATGGCCTCTTAGATCTGCTCCAGACCCTAAATCCTATGATTGTTTCAATTTTAACTTATACTACCATCCCCTCTAAATATTCTTCACTTTAGGCACTCTGGACTGCTCCACATCCTCAATACCCATCTTGCTGTTTCTGCCTCTGTATATTGGCTTTATTACACATCCTAAATTTCCATCTTCACCTGGTCCTGCTGAAGTCCTATGCATCCTTTAAAACCTAGCTTAAATGTCACCTCCTTCAGGATGTTTTCCTTGAACCTCCTAGTCAGTAGCGCTCTCCCTAATTTCACATAGCATCTTATGCTTCTCAGGTACTTTCTTTTTTTATAGTATTATATATTTTTTCCCCCAATTACATTTAAAGACAATTTTTAACATTCATTTAAAAAATTTTTTTGAGTTCCAAATTATCTCCCTTCCTTCCTTACCATCCCTGCCCTAAGACTCTTTCCAATTTAATATAGGTTATGTATGTGCAATCATGTAAAACACATTTCCATATTAGTCATGTTGTAAAAGATGAAATAGGCCAAAAGAAAAGAACCACGGGAAAAAAAAAGAAAGTGAAAATAGTATGTTTCCATCTGCAGTCAGACTCCATCAGTTCTTTCTCTGTATGTGAATAGCATTTTCCATCATGAGTCTTTTGGAATTGGAAGTCGTTCATATTGATTATTGTACAATGTTGCTGATACTGTGTATAATGTTCTTCTGGTTCTGCTCACTTCACTTTGCATCAGTTCATATAAGCCTTTCCAGGTTTTTCCTCTCAGGTACTTTTAAATGGTGCTGAGATCAGGGACTATTTTATGTAATCTTTGGTTCTTCCCTGGTATAATCTTTTCTATAAATTACACAGTAGATAAATATTTATTGAATTGAATTAAATTGAACCCTATAAGCAGCCATTTTACCCTTTAAAAAAATCTCTACATCTGATGGCCACCTCTTTTACAGAATCACAGACTTTTGAGAGCTGGAAGGGACCTCAGTGATCATCTTTGTGCAACCCATACAGGAAAAGTACCCCCATTATCATATATCAGACAAGTGGTTGTTTAGCCTCTGTTTAAAGATCCCCAAGGCGGGGGCACACACCGCCTCTCCAAGGAGCCCTGTTCATTTTTGCACAGGTCTAAGTTTTAGGAAGTTTTTCCTGATTTGTAATTTCTCCCCATTCCTCCTGTTCTACCCTCTGAGGCCAGGTCTGGTTCCTCTTTTCCTTCAGTTGATCCATATATGATGTGATTCAAGGCCCTTCAGCATCCTAGTTGCCCTTCTCTGGACACTCTCCAGTTTATCAATGTCCTTCTTAAACCATGGTGCCTAGAATTGAACACAATGAAGGCAGGGAGACTATAACCTCCCTATTCTTGGAAGCTAGGCCTTTCTTAATGAAACCCAAGATCTATCGACTTTTTGCTTGCCACATTTCACTGCTGACTCATTGAGCTTGCAGTCCATTAAAACCCCAAGATCTTTCTCAGAACACATACTCACTATCCAGACCTCACAATCTTATATTCATGGGATTAATTTTTTTTTGTTGTTGGTGCTCTTAAGTATAAGACTATTGAATTTCACCTTGTTGGATTGAAACCAATGCTCTAGCCTGTCAAGATCCACTGTATTAGTTATCCTTCCCAACTTTGTGTCATCTTCAAATTTGATGAGCATACCATCCATACTTTTATCCCAGTCATTGATAAAAAATGTTAAACAACACAGGGCTAGTCTTTATTAGACACTTCCTGCCACATTGACATTGAACCATTAACAACTACTTCTTAAATCTGTCCACCTAGTTCTGAATCCCTTTGATTATATTATTGTCTGATCCCTATCTCCCTGCCTCCTCTACAAGAATAATCTGAGATGCTTTCTCAAAAGCTTTGCTACAGCATTGGTAAAATATATCTCTTTATCTACTAATTTAATAATCCTGCTGAAAAAGGAACCGACTGGTACTTAATGAAGCCATGCTGGCTTTTTGTAATCACTACTTCCCTTTCTAGGTATTTGCCAACTACTTCTTTAATAATCCATTCTAGAACTTTTCCAGGAATCAACATCAAACTCACTGGCTTATCATTTATAGATTCTGTTCTCTTCCCCTTTTTGAAAACTGGGACATTTGCACTTCTCCAGTCTTGTGGAGAATCTTTCCCATTTTCCATGATCTTTTGTCTCATCAATCACATGTATTAGTTCTTCAGTGATCCAAGGATAGAGTACATCTGAATCCAGATGGGTTGAATTCCTCAAGGGCAGATAGATTCTCCCTTAACTGTTTCCTAGCTTGTCTTTGATTACTTCTGTTAGTCATTTTTGTTTAGTCATTTCCAATGTAAAGATTATAATATTTAAAGTCCCTGGCACAGTCAGTTGAGCTCCACCAATTATGTCTCTTGTTAATGCTGCCTACCTGCCTGACTCAATTTGTTTATTGACTTAATTTTTAGGTGCTTGTGTAGATGCTCAAGTACCACACACGCTTCTCATTTCATCTGTATTAATCCACCTACTCCTTTAAAGTAACTGTCCCCAGCTTGGTCATTTTTAAAGTATACCATGTAACATTTTAAAAAGAACAAAACTGTGTTGTCAAATATGAATTATTTACCTCTAGGAAAGAGAATATACAAATACAAGAAATTTGTGGTTAATATAGTCAAATGTGTGGTGGATTTTTGTAATCTCTGAGGTTTTGTCTTTTATGATCGCCAGGGCTAACTTTTTAGTTTTAGGGCTGTACAAAATCTAAAGCTGGATTTAAAAAAAAAAAAAGTCATGAAATCCAAATGGTTGGGGCAAGGGAGCCCCCTAGCGATTATAGTGTGTAAATACATCTGAACATGATTACCATAATGAATCCATTTAGCTCTTTGGCGGCTTTCTTTTTCCCCAATTACCAATAAATGATTTGTGAAAGGAGGTGATGAGCAGCAGAGCAAAGAAGCAAACAACACAGGCCAAGGGCTATTACTTACATAGTGAAGCCTTGCTCAGGTAGCTGGATTTGGACTTCTGTAAGTACGGATATAAGAAAGAATGGGGGTATTCTTATTAGAGCTGGAAGGTCAGTTGGTCAACAAACACTTATTAAGTGCCTCCTATATGCCAGGCATTGTGCTAAGTGCTGGGGCTATAAAGAAAGGCAAAAATAAACCTAGTCCCTGCTCTCAAGGAGCTCACAGTCTAATGGGGGAGACTACATGCACACAGTGCTATACAAACAAGCTATATTTAGGCTGAATTTGAGTTTCTTTTTCCTAAGAGTATTGTGTTATGCTTTTTTTCTTTTTGATAGACCTTTGTGTCACTTCAGTGTCAAAAGGAGGATTTGAGAGAGAAGAAACAACAACATTTGCAGTGCTCTACAGATTAAGAAATATACTGTTTGAACGAAGTATGTCATTTGATACTGATCATCTATGACATTAATGAAAGGGTATTGGGGATGCATATTTTCTCCTCTTTGTTAATATGTAAATTTATCTTCAGTTATCTCTAATCAAAATGAATCTAAATTAAAAAATTTTGAAGCTTGATTCAATTCCTATTATAATAAAAACTCTTGTATTTACTATTGAGATTTTTTAAATTTTGGATGACATGTTTATAAAGAATGTCATTTGTGGCTGTACCTTTAATTAACACTTATCTTTGTGTGCTTTCCTTTTCAGATAGAAGGGTGATGGATGCCATTGCTCGCTCTGAACTTTACATGGATGATCTTTTCTCAGATTACTACTATGATAAACCCCTCAGTATGACTGACTTTTCCCTTAGAGAAGGGACTCATGTCCGAGTTAATTTACTCAATCATAATATTCCAAAAGGGCCTTGTGTCCTCTGTGGAATGGGGAACTATAAGAGGGAAACTGTTTATGGATGTTTTGAGTGTTCTTTCAATGGACAAAAGTATGTAAGACTTCATGCTGTGCCCTGCTTTGATGTTTGGCACAAGAGAATTAAATAAAATGAGTGCCTTTGGTGCAGTTGTAAGTGTAATTGTGCCATAACCCTTTCCAAATGACTTGGTTGGTTCAAGTGAGTCAATCAATTGTGAAAAAATAAGAAAGGTAAAAATTAACTGCAAAGATATTTATTTTTTAAATTTTCCTCAAAATTTTTATTTACATTTCAAAATATACAGTATTTCAGAAACATTTTGACTAGTCACTACAAAAATGTTGTGGCTTTACCTTGTTTTGTCACTTGAAGTCAGAAAGCTCTACAAAATTTTTTTTTCCCTGAATATCAGTTTTATTTTTAATGACATTAATTCAAAATTTTAATGGTGAATTGAATGTAGAAATGTTTTCTTAAAAAAAAGCATACCACTTATGTTATGGCCTAGTAAAATAAGAAAAATGTTAAGAATTTAATGTAATCCTACATGTTTAATTGCAGTATCAAATTAAAAAGACATTAAGAATTCTCTTAAGCATAAGGTTTCATAAACAGAGTTGAGAACTAGAGATTGGGAAGTAGGTTTTATTACTGAATGTGCATCTGCTCTATAGTTTTGTGGTTATAAGATTCCTTATTGCCACTTCAAACCTATTGCAAAGATCAGAATTCTGTTTTTTCTCTCTCATGAAGATGCATAAGAACAAAACACTTCAATGAATGTGGATTTAGAAGGCCTTATTTGTCTATACTACAAGGTATCAAGAATTTGCAAACAAAATTTACTGGGCCCTAATTTTTAATGTTGCTCAACCTATATAAAAAGAAGACATACAAAAGAAAATACCAAAATGAAAAGCAATTATAGGGATGAGGACTGGCCCTGTGATTTCATTGGTATAAGTAACTCACAGGTGAAGAAACTTCCTCTACCGATGCAGGTTAGCACTTTCTCTGCACTTTGTGCAGGTGGATGGAGCAAGGTCTCATAGCTAGTATGTGTTAGACACAGGACTTGAATCCAGTTCATTCCTCGATTCATTATGCCATACTGACTATAAAATACACACTCAAAATTATAATTACTCTACAGGTTTTCCATATACAGAGACTTAAAAATAATTGTATATGTTAATACAAAACACCACTACTGTGTTAATACATTAATGTACTTGTGTTTGTCATGTAATGTAAATGTGCAGAAAAAATTTAATTTCTTCTTTCTCCATATATACAGCAAGACCTTTTTTCTTCACTAATTAAAATTTTTTAAAATGTAACTTCAGACAGTTAAGGGACAGGATGATTAGAGTGTGATTTATTATGGAACAACACAATTTTTATATCCTTCAGATCAACAAATATTTATCGTATAATCATAATACGTTTGGCATTACACAGAAGATACCATATAACACATTTGTGACCTGTAGGAGGCCAAAGTAAGAGTCAACACAACAAGATCCAGTTGTTTGGGGTTTTTTTTTTTACTATACTTTTATAAAAGTATGATTTTAGTATGCATAAATGTCAGTAAATTTCTTGAAAGGTTATTGTCATAATACTTAGGAAAGTGTATAAAGCCAATTACTTGAAGATGACATGAAGTAAAGCATACTGAAATATCTTAAAATGAGCTCAGCACAAAAATTATATTTTCTGAAAATTTTACTCATTTTTTAGATTTCTGACAACAGAATTTAAATGATGACAATGAGTCCTTTTAAAATGTTTTGTTCATCTCTTCTACAGTAAATGAATCTGACATGTACAATCTTTGTCCTTTTAGTCCCCCACTTCTCTACCATGATGGAGAAGGTAAGTTTCATTATCTGTCTTCCTGGACTTTCATTTATTTTTTCCCCAGTTATTCTGAGTCCAGTTTCCTTTTAGTGATCTTTTCATTTATATTATTATAATCATTGTGTACACAAGTCTCTTGATTCCATTTGTTTACATCAATTCATGTGGCTATTCCTATATTTCTCTGAATTCCTCAGGTTCATTATGAATGAACAGAATACTTAATATTTATATTTAGCAGTATTACATTACATTCATATACCACAGTATTTTTAGTCATTGTCTGATCTATGGACAACCACTTTCCAATTCTGTGTTAACATAAAGTGTTGCAGTGAATATTTTGGTATATACTAGATTTTTGTTTTTCTTTGATTTCCTTGGAGTATCATGTATTAAACAAGGTGGTAGAAGGCCTTAAATGCAAGTATATATTTTATTCTGCAGGGAAAGGTGTGCCATTAGTCTTTAAGTAGTGGGGTGATGTGATCAGAGTTGCCCAGTTAGAGAGTTACTTTACCAACTGTATGAAAAATGAGTTGGAGAAGAAAGAAGCTAGAGGGAAAAAAACCAGTTAGGAAGCCATTAAAATAGCTCAGACAAGAGATAATATAAGCCTAAGTTATTGGGGGTGGGGTGGCAGTAGAAGTGGAGAGGAGGGAACAGATGAAACATATGGCAGAGATAGGAATGATAGTCTTTGGCAAATGATTGAATATAGGAATTGAAGAAATAGTGAAATATGATTCCAAGGTTTTGAGGCTGGATGTCTAGAAGAACGATGTCATCAACAGATAAAGGGAAGCTGGAAAGGAGGGCAAGTTTAGGAGGAAAGATGATGAGTTAAATTTTGGAAATTCTGAGTCTGAGATGTTGGCTGCTTCATCAAAATATTGAAATCTGTGTTCATAGGCATTACTAAATAAAGCAGAGAATATAGAATTCTTACATTTTTCACTACTTTTTGGGGTACAATATAATTATTAAAAATTTATATAAGGTTCAGAAACTAATATTTTTCAAGATATCAAAATGTGGTTTTATAGGGAAAAAGTAAGCAAAATTTGGATAAAAATAATTTTGTAGATAATACAAAAGATAGCCAAATGAATTTAGAAAGATATGCTATAGTTCATCATGTTGATATACATTATATTCCTTGGAAGAAATGAAGCCATCTCCATCGTGGTCATTTTTCTTAAAAATATCTTCTAACACAGAATCATGATATGACTGGTCACGTGGTTTATCATCTTTCTCAAATTCCTTTTTCAAGTAATAATTGATCTACGTTGAAAAAAAAAGAACACTTGCTGAAACAAACATCTTACAAAGCACTTTGGAGAATTTAATGAGGAATGTAAACATTATGATGCCCCAAACCACACTGCTATGGAGGACAGTTTCTATGTGAAGCATCACAAAAGGATAGACTAAGGTTATCAACTTTAAATGAATTTTTTTTGGGGAAAATCTTCCAAACCTCTTCAAATTAGTGTTACTTAAGTGTGAAGAACTTTTCAAAGATGTTGAATTTTATGACATGTATTTCATAGTATATATTATATATTTTTCTTAAATTTCTATGTTGGAACTGCATTGTAAACAAATCAGACACAATCTCATTATGCACATTTATATATAACTTCAACAATGAAAAATCATCTTCAAAGTGCTTTTACTTGTAAAATTCAAAACAGCATTTTAGAAAAATCTCTGCTATCAAAGCATAATGTTAGGATAATTGCAACCTTTCTTCTTCTGACACTTAAAATGCCAATCAAAATTCAATAAATAAAATACAATTTGGGCTTTGGAGTGAAATGAATTTGAATCTGCATCATATTTGTCTACTGTCAAGTGCCAAGGTAGGTTGCATTAGCAGTTTCCCTACTTGTGGATGTTTCATAAAGAGTAAATACTTTATGAAGTATTTTTTCAAATAACAGCAAGTTTCTTTTAGAATATGGAATGTCTATTGTCAGTCACTGAGAGAGTAGGAATAAAGAACTGGAGGAAACTGACAGATTATTATGAAATGTTATAGAATGAAAAGAAATTATATAAGTGGCCTTAAAAATTATAACTTATTTTGGGTGGAAGTGGAGACCAAGTTATCCACATATACTTCAAGCCATGACTAAAGAAAAGGTGGCACAGCTATTGGAAAGCAAGTGCTGAGAAGGCTGAAGGAAATGAGAGCAAGATAAATTGTAATGGCAATGTCAGAAGGCTACAGGAAAACTCTAACATAAGTTTTAGCAGCACAGGTAGTCAGTCCACCCACCTGTCCTGGGTATGGTATTCAGTGGCAAGATGAAGGTGCTATGAGGGCTACATCAGCTGTTCTCAGGCAGAAAGGAGTGGCTGGATATTAGGGCACACATGATAATGATGTGATCTCTTTTTTTTGCCTACCAAGGACTGATGGAACTCTGACTCTCTATCTCTCACACTTTGTCTCTCTTTATGAATAGTTTTATAAAGTTGCTTTGTTGTAGAAGGTATTAATAAATAAGCATTTATTAATCACACACACACACACACACACACATATATATATATACATATATATATTAAGCACTAAATATACAAAGAAGGGAAAAACATGAAGTCTGCCATTTTTTCATGTGAGACTGGGTAAAGGATGATACAGTGGAAGAAGATATCTAAGTGTTGTGAGATGAGGAGTTGAGAAGAGGGTGGGAGTGACCTTATTTTTTTAGTGAAGTGAGTTGAGTCCATCGATTGAGCACGTAGGTGTGTGGTGGGAGCGTTGAAAGAAGGTAAACGTATTGAGGAGGTATAAAAGGGTTGCTTTGCTGCAGTGGGTGTCCAAGTTGAGAGTATGTGGCATTAATTTATAGTGGACTCTGTCAACATGGTTAGGGACTTTTTTCCCAACTCTTTTCAGCAGTAGGTGGAGAGAAGATAAAATGGCAGACTGATTGGTGGGAGTCATCCAAGGTTAGGGGTTTGGCAACACATGATCAGAGATAGTACAAGGGGGCAGGAGATTGGAATGTAGAGGATATAGATTAGAATTGATTTACCAAGGTGTCTAGAAAAAGAAGGAGAATGTAGCTAGTATAAGGGTGATGGCCTTGGCAAGAACTGAGAGGGTGGAAGGTTTAGAAGTCACAGTGAAGGCAAAGAATAGGATTAGGATGATAAATGAGAGGAAAGATGGAGTGATAAGAGATTATGATCAGATAAAGGCATTTCAGAGTTCATAATCATGGAAGTAGAATGCATACGAATGATGGCAAGATCAAGGGGATAACCACCTCTGAACAGCTGAGGTGAAGTGGGGGAGTAGGTTAAGGGAAATGAGTCAATTGAGGAACTGGGAAGTTGAGTATTGAAGGAGTAGTAACATATGTGTTTAAGTCTCCTAAAATGATGTCAGCCGTTTGGGAACAGAAAGGCACTATGCACCAAGTACGGAACTCGTTTAGGAAGGAAAGAGAGTATTCTGGGTGACCTTAGAACACCAGAGAGAGTAATTTTTGGTTTGTTTGTTTTAAGGAAATAGAAGGTCAAGGGCTTAAAAAACTTATAACATTTCTTAGAAAGCAAGTAAATCCACATGCAAGAATCTCCTTTCCTGCTGGCTCATTTTAATAAATCCCCTTTTATTTTTGCTATAATAATTCACAAGAGGAAGAGAAAGATATGGGTAAGTAAAGAGGCCCTGAATTCATTAAATCAGGCTTTTCATTAAGATTAATCAATTAGGTTTACTGAATTAATTAATTCAATTACAATTAATCCTAAATCTAATAATAACAGCTAGAATTTATATAGTGCTTTAAGGTTTGCAAAATGATTTTTATATATTGTATTATAATATTATACAACTGGTCAAATGCATTTTTTCACCTATGAGGCTGTATAAATAACTGGATTTAAATGAATATTCTGAGCAGAGGCCTCAGAATATGGAATAACAACACTTGTAGCTTCCAGAGTTGTTGTGAGGATAAAATAATATATATAAAATACTGTGTAAACCTTAAATGCTATATAAATGCTGTTATTATTTTTATTAGGCCTGATTTTATAATCTACACAAATTAAAATGCACTGCATAAGTTTGCTTATTAATGCTATGACTCATTTACTAGTAGTTTTGAAATCTTATCTGTTAATTTCAGACCCTTCTTCAATATTATTTTATGCTTGGCAATGACGTCTGAGGAAACTGCAGCTAAATCAGTTACCTTTTGGGGATTTCTCTACTGTAATATATAGAAAAGGACTGTTGGGGCCTTACATGTCTGAAGCCTGTTTCTGCTCCATGGCGCAGAGATGCTAAAGCATTTTAGAGAACTGCTATATTTTATATCCCTAACAATGGAGGATTGTGATGAGTGACCAATGGCCATTGGAGTTTCTCTGTAAAGACTCCTGATAGAGAGTTGTCAGTGTTAAGCCTTTAAAATAGGACTCAGGGAAGATGGCATAGAATTATCAGAGAAGTCTGCATAGAAGTAACCATTTAAAAAAAGCAGGCAGCATGGTGGTCAGTGGTCACATGACATTCATGGCATATAGTGTGGCCACTAAGTTCTAACTTACCCCCACTCAAATAGTTGAGAGAAATGAACTCCCTTCTTGCTCTTCTGCTATTGGCCAAGGTAAGGGATTTCTGAGATATATCATGAAAGGGCTGTGGGAGAAGGGGGTCAGAGAGGGGGATGTGGCTAAAGAGATGAATCCATCACTTAGTAAAATCTGGCATTGCTGTTGAATGGAATGGAATAGGGACCACACAGGTAGGATGACCAGTGAGCAAACTACTGTAATAGCCTATGTGGCAATCTGGGGCCTGTCTTTGGGGGGGTTGCAGGAAAAATGGAGAGAAAGGAGTGGGTTAGAAGAATATTTGCAGAGGTGACTCAGCAGAGTTCAATGATTTATTTGGGTATCGGACGAGAGAAGAGGTAACATTAAAGTCTTAAATATGAGATCCTGGATAAGTGATGTTGTCAGTGACAGAAATAGTGAAATCAAAAGGAAGAACAGGTTTTGAAGTTAAGATATATTTGGTTTTGGACATATTGAGTTGAGGTTCCCATGAGATATCTATCCAGGTCTTTGAGACGCTGACATGCAAGTCTGAAGCTTAGCAGTGAGGTAAAAAATGGAGATGTAAATTTTGAATTATTTATGAAGACACAGAATTTGAATCTATTTGAGTGAATAAGATTGTGATCAGAGAGAACATACAGAGACAAGAGAGGAAAAGAGTAGGATAGCACTTTGGGAAGCATCCACGTTGAGGGGTGTGAGGAAAAGAAGAGAACAGAAACAGAGTGAAGAGTAAGATAAGGGAGTTATTAAAGGTTGATGAGAAAAGACTGCTGAGTGTCACTATTAGGGCCCAGTGGAAGTTACGTACCATAAATATATATGGGAGGAAACAAGGCAATTTTATGACTTACTCCACCAATGTTAGCATCCCTAGATTAGAAGCTAAGAAACAAGGTGGTGGTGGGATACCTGTGATGTGTTAGCAGATTTAGCAACTTCAAAACTTGAGAAAGTGAGGGGATACCCAATGACTGGGGAATGGCTGAACAAATTATGATACATTAATACAACAAAATATTACTGTGTCATAAGAAATGATGAAAAAGAAGGGTTTGGAGACACCTGGGGAGACTTGTATGAAATGGTGCAGATTTAAGTTAGCAGAACCAGAAGAACAATTTATGTAACAACAACCACCACACACTGAATTAAAAAAATAACTTTGAAGACTGAAGAACTCTGGTCGATGAAACAAATAGCCATGATTACAGAGTACTGATTATGAGCCATGCTACCCACAACCTGATAGAAGTGATGGGCTCAAAACAGACTGAGGTGTTTTTGGATGTGGCCTATGTAAGAATTTATTTTGCTTATTTGTAACAAGGGTATGGTTTTGATTTTCTTTTTTATAATGAGGGAGTGAGGGAAGGTGAGAGGAAGATAGAGATCCCTCTACTCCCCAAATAAGAGGGAGATAGAGATCTCTTTACTCCCCAAATAAGAAAAGAATAGAATGAAGACCAGAAGAAATCACAGATAAGCTGGACAGCTCTGAAAGTTACATGTTGAATTCATTACATTTAAAAAGAAAAAGCTCTACGTTAGTTAACAGTTTTATGTAAAATCCTCTCCTTGTTCTACAATGTATATGAAAATGCTCATTTAGTGTTTATTCAGAATTTAAAAAAAGAAAGTCAAGGGAATGAAGGTTTCTAGAATTATGGCTACTACTGAATCATGAAAGTGGTAGACCATGTGGTCAACATAGGACACAAGTGAAGTAAGAGCAGAGGAGAAGACCAAAGATAAGAGGAAGAGATGAAGGAGCTGGAAGTCATGATAACAGAGAAGAGCAACTCTAGAGAGAGTGGAGGATTGGGAGAGAGAGCACAATTTGAAGGCTATATGAAAGAAAGGCCAAGCTAGAGTTTAAAATGCAAAAGGGAAACCCTCTTTGGGACAAACATGTACTGAAACAATGGTTTACAAGTGAAACCCTGACATTGGGTTTTATTTGGGTTACCTCGGTTTTAGAAAGTTTCTTGTCATTGTCCACATCTATCTGTTTAAATGTTTCAATGCTTCGGGGTCCTTTGGTCACAGCATAGAGTTCAATCTCAAAAATCAGTGTTGTATCTGGTGGAATCAAGCCTTGTGCTAAGGAGATGACCAAAAAAATATTAAATATAAACACAGGTTTTGGTCAAAGATGAAGTAACAAATAACATTATGAATGATGCCTTTATATTTTTTTGAAGTGTTTCATTAGCATTTTTTATGATTTCTTAAGCATTTTCCCTCTGATTTTTATCCAAAGCATGCCATTTTAAAGCAATTTTGATTAAGGTAGAACCAATAATCACCACTCATCTTGCCCTTGTTGGCAGAATCTGTTATTTTCAAATATGGTTATGAGCATGGTAAGTAAAAGAGAACTACTGCAGAAAAAAGGTGTAAAAATATAGAACTCAAGGTAAGGCTTATAGACAGGAGGATTCAGAATTATTGACATTTCTTAGAAAATTAAATTATTATGTAATTACTTGAAAACATGGATAAAATAAACATCAGCCATGACTTTGACTCAATATAAAATGAAAAAAAAAAGAGTAGCAGAATAGAAATATCTATACATTTTATGAAGAGATTTCATTTGTGATATATGTTATAATTATAAAGACCTTGGAGGGAATGTGAATATTTAATGAAGAACCAATCTATTGACTTATAGCATCTGAGGTTTTCACTTAGATAGCAGACTTTTTTTTTGATTTGGACCAGTGATTTCATTAGTATGGGAAAGAAAGGAATTTCCTCAGTCCAATGGACAAGGGCTATACTCTAGTTACTTATACTCTATATTCTTACCTGTACAGGGTTGCAACCCACAGTTTAAGAAGTGCTAAAGGGGTCTCAAATGGAAAAAATTTAAGAAGCCTTGCAGGATGTCTGTAATTCATAGTGTTAGAGAGTTTCTTGGGGTTACTGAGTAGTTGTTAACCTGCTCAGTGTCAGACACAGCTAGTAATGTATCCGAGGCAAAACCTGAATCTGGGTCTTTCTGACTACGAGGCTAGTGAACTCCATTCACCACATCAAGTTTCTTTTAAGACACAATATATTTCAGTTAATCAATTAATACACAATATTTAAAGAAATAACTGACTTATTTCCATACACTTGTGCCAAAATATCTCTTCCTTATTGGCAATAACTGGTAATCATGTGCATAGTAGACCTTGGTTAAGTATTCTATTGTAAAAGAAAATTTTTGCTAAAAGGTTTATGGCATTTAAAGAGAAAGGAATGTCAAAGCCAGAGACAAAAACAGAAGGGGAGCAGTGAGTCAGTACAAAAGAAATCTGACTTATGCATCATGCAATTAACAGCAAACGTTAGTATTGTGTCAACATGCTTACCTGACCTATAAGCAAAGAGCTAGATAGTCAATGATGATTTCTGGAAAACTGATTTTCATGTTTCTAATTTATCCAGCTATAATCTTCTGGTCACAGGAAGAAAACTTCCTTGATAAGAGCAAAAGAAAAAAATTCAAAACTCCAATTCCAAGGCTAACATTTCTTTATGTAAAAATATATACATACATATGTGTATACACAAGCATGCCAAGTTTCTGAATAAAAATTGCAAGCGTGCAAAGTATTACCAATATGAAAGTTTTTCTTTCAACAAATATATATGGGATTATGTGCATTTGCTATATAGATGACTGACATTCAGAGATGAAGCTCATAAGGTACTGTCATGACGTGAAGCCTTTGAGAAATGCTATGTAGCATATGAACAGACCTGAAGAACCACATGCATTTCAAGACATGCAGGAATGCCCTGTAGCAGAAGACAAGGATGGTGCAGAGAAAATGCTTTTTTTTCAATTTCTTCTTAACACAGAGTTATATCTGAGATCAGGTATATATAGTGATGAATTTTATAAAAATAAGTAAACATAATTATGAACAAACTTCTTGCTTCTTAGAAATGGTTTATAAAATTTTAACACATTAAGTGTACAATGAGATGAGACAGCAAACGTTTTATCAAACTTAGAATTTAGAGCTGGAAAGTTTAATTAAAATTTTGTCTGTGGTCATCTTACATATCACAGAAACATAAAGTGTTAGAAGCAAAAGGAACCATTATGATTATCTAAGTATACTTTTAATCTTATATAGAAGGAAACTAAGGCCCAGAAGTGCTTTATCCAAGGGTCAGCATAGATAATTAATGGCAGAGCAAAGACCAAAACTGAATTCTAGTTAATTCTAATTAACAGAGGGAAATTCTGTTAATTATTTTGTTTATCCTGTATGTAGTTTGTACATATTTATGTGTTTTTAGTCTTCTCCATTAGATTATAAGCTCTGTGAGGGCAAGGATCACCTTTTGCCTTTCCCCAGAACTTAACACAGTGCCTAGCACATAGTAGGTACTTAATGCTTATTGACTGTCTCAGTGTCCTGATTTGTAGGCTATTGCTCTTTCCAGTGCAAGTTCCACAATAGTTCAATAAACCTAGTGACAAGACAGTGATCTTATATACTGCTATCTGTTTTGCAGTCAAAGTAGATGTATTCTGATATGATGACATTTATCAGTACAGCCTTTTAGCTCCTACCATAGAACATCATATGCAGTCAGCACTTAACAAATGTTGAATTAAGAATTATTATTTTTAAAAATTAATTAAAAGAAGGAAAAGTAAAAGAGAAAGTTAATAATGGTCTTTAGAGGCCATTAAAAAGTTTACTTTGAAGAAAACTACCTGTTTTTCCTCTCCATTGTGGACTAAATGAAGTAACAAGGACTCAAGTTTATCTGTTAGATTTATAAAGAGCCTTTTATTCAAAGAATACAAAGTGCTCAGGTTTTAGCAGGTGAAATCTAGGTTATTTAAGGCTTGTCCACAGATACAAAAACAGTACTGGATCACACAAAGAAATCCTACTCTTCCACTCCCTCTCTCCCAAACCAAACCCCAACTAGGACCTAGGGGAATAGGTTTCATTAGAAAATGATACCAGCCTTTATAGCTCCCAGGATCTAAAGAATGAATTAACTGAAATGCCTGGTAAAATGGAAGCATACTATGGAAGTATCTATGTCAGATTAATAAACTATAAAGTTCTCCTATGTGGCTGGGAGGAATTTTTTTTAACCTATAAAGGAAACCTGTGATATTTGAAGTCAGGGAAAAAAAAGTCCAATTCAAACCTTGGTAAGTCTTTAAAGCTCTAAGATTCTTTGTGTGTGTGTGTGTGTGTGTGTGTGTGTGTATGTATTATATATATATTATATACATATGTCTTTTTTTTTTCCCTTTCAGCATTGACCTTACCCATTTGCATGTTAGATATTACTGCATGTGAGAAGTTAGGCCTCTCAGAGTGCAACTTCTTTTGGCTCAGTAGCCCAAAAGCCTATTAGGAGACAGACAGCTACTCAGTGTAATTGGAAGGGCTAGGGTCTCTGTAGCTCCTAGTTATCTCACCTTTTCTAGGTCTACTAGAGTCCCTGAACATCTTACTGCAGTTACTCTTCCTGAAAGATAAAGTACTAAAGCTACCTCTCTACCCCTACCCCTTTGAATTCACTGTTCCTTAGATGTAACTTGGCTCTAATATCTAGCATCTTCATTCAGTTTTTGCATAATGCAACACTTAATCTGATTTTGTTTGAAGGATAAAGGATTCAAATTCCTACTATTATATCGAACATAATTACTATTTTCAAGTCTCACATGAAATGAAATAAGTGAATCTTTATGGGTCTCTGCAAAACTGAAAACTTGGTATATAAATCCTTTTTTTCCAGGGGATGCTGAACGTTCAGATGGGACCAAATAATAGACAAATACATGCAGATAAATTTGGAGTGGCAGGAGTTAGCTATGTAGATAATTAGACTCTGGGAGAAGAAATATTGACAAACTTCTCTCTAGGTGCTTTAGAGGTCAAATTTGTCTGACACAAGTTAGCTGATCTCTTGGAGTCTCTTTGAACCCTATGAATCTATAGTAATAGGATAATGATTCTCCAACTTTTTTCACTGACAGACAGAATGGACAAACAAGTGGCCAGAATGAGGCCCCAGCACGTCCTCTGATACATGTGAACCACACTATTATTCAACTGAACCACTCTGTTGGCAGCACACCACCTGTGTATGTGAGGCGCTGTGATTACTGGACTCTCACTGCTTTTTGTAGTCACACAGGGTTGTCCCAAAAGTCTTAGTGCCATTTTAAGCTTTAATAACCTCACACAGCACTAAGACTTTTGGGACACTCTGCATAATGCCAACGCCTCAAGGATGTAGCGATGGCTTCCAGTGCTCTCTCACACAGCATACTGCTTCTTTCAAATCCAGTTTGGACACATCTTCTGGAAGTCCAGAAGGAACTATGTTCCCTAAGACTCCAGGATTGAACTTCATAGCTCTCCCCAACTGGGGAGAGCTGGCATTTTGTCTACATGCATAAATTCCATTTCTCTTTTTCATCCCGTCTCTGTGGTGGATTAAGAAGTAGATGGAGACGGAAGACTTCAGCCCATTTGTTCAGCACTCTATAAAGAATTTTCTCTTGTGGTTGAGTCAGTGACTTGCTTATGACACCTCAGACGCTGACTTAAAAATGACTCTGGGAATGCTCTCCTTTATTTTTAGCTGTCCTTATTTTTAGTTTGACTTTCATCTTGAGAGAGAGCATGGTACAAAGGAAGAGTAATGGAAAGAACCAGAATATCTAAGCCTGAATCCTTATCTTATCCTTTACTAGGTGGATAAACATAACCAAGTCACAACCCTCCTGAGCCTTAGTTTCCTCATATGTAAAATGAGGATAATTAATAGCTGCACACTTCCTACTAGCATAGGGCTGCTATAGGAAAAGTATTTTGCCAGCCTTATGTGCTACAAATGTGAGATATTATTTCCATCTCCACTAAAGTCCAACTCTAGCACCTCACTGTGGAGTAGCAGTGACCCCACTTGGTTCTTGAAAGTTTTGCCAGGGAAGTGGCAAGTATCTCAAGGTCCTAGTCAAAGTGGTTCAGCAATCAATCAACAAGCATGTATTAATCACCCACTATTTGCCAGACATTGTGCTAGGCACAGAGGATTGAAATACTAAGAATGAAACAATCTCAACTTAAGTCTATTGTCTGAGGACCAGCACAGGCATTGAAAAAAAAATAAAATTAGGACTTAATTTCAGGGGGATATTAAGGATTTTAGTCCAACCAATCCCCTTCATTTTGCATGTTGGGAAACTGAGGGCCCAGAGAAGTTAAGTAAGTTTGTCCAAAGTCAAAGGGGAGCAAGTGTCAGAGCTGGAATCTGAACCCCAGGATCTCTAACTTCCTATCCAGAAGGCTGACTACCACAAAACTTTCTGAAGGTTCATAAGCTGCTCATGAAAAAATACATTTTGTATAGGAGTGGAAGTATTCATACCTGTGAAGTACTGAGGACATTAAAAATAATAAAGCACCTAGAATAAAGCATTATAGAACAGAGAAGCGACATGATTAGCTTTTCTAATGATTCATATTGAAATACAACTGAAATAGAACAGGATTATCAAGTTCAGTATTAAGTATTTTACCATAGCCTTCCTTTCCATAGGCCAGTGAAGGAGGTATTGTCACTTTTCTTTTTTCTCCAGAACACATACCCATCATAGCAATATCTAGGCCTTTTATTACTTGCCCAACACCAAGGACAAACCATTTTGGGTGGCCTTTATTTTGTGTCCGGCTACAGTTAAAAAAAAGAAGAAGAAAAAAGATAATATATTTAAGTAATGAGGAAATCAAGCCATGGAAAGTAAGAGACTAGAGATAATATGCTAGACAATTAACAGTGTCAAATATATACATCAGAACTGAGATACTATTTTAAATATTAAATAGCTCTGTAACATTAGTTAATCTACACTTAGAGGTGTGCTGGTTAATATTTGATAACCAGATCTCACAGAAAATTAAAAGCATACTCAGGACACACTTTCAAGTTTAATCTGTATTAATAACATTTTCTCCATACATCACTTTTTAAAGTCTAAACAACCAATAACAAAAAAAAAATAAATCAAGTATAACTGGTTGCACTAGCCATTTCCAAGGAATAAATACGTTCACATGAAAACTTAACAACTGGCTCTCTAAATAGCCACTCTGAGCTGGCTTCAGCACACCCCTTATGTTAGCCATTTTGTATTCCTAAGCGAGTACACAGGAGTACTGTGTATTCCTAAATAGTTTTAGCTTGTTTCCTTAGAAACAGGGTCAGAATAAGAATATAATTTGTCCAAAGGTACTAGTAACAAGGGGCTGCTTCTTTTTTATTCTCAACTTAATTTTTTTCCTAATGAAGCTGTGAAAGTTTTTCCTAGCCCCCAATTAGTTTTCTCCCTTGCCTATATTTTTATAATTGTCCTATCTTCCCCAACACCCATTTAAAATTTACATTCCCAGAGAGCAGAAGCTGTCATTGAAGTTTTTTTTTTTTTTAATATTCCCAAGGGCCTAGCTCAGTGCCTTTTTAAATATTAAGAGGTACTTAATAAATACTTGTAGGATTTAATTGGTTGAATTCATGGAATAATTGGCCTCTGAGAATTCCAGTTAGCATCTAAACAGGAAGAACATTTTTCCCCCTGTTGTCTCCTATCATCACCTTTTTTAGACTTCAAGCATGACTGGAGGAAAAAAATTATATTTTATAATATATAATTATATACAATATAATTATGATTCATAGTTATATACTATATATAATTATAAATTATATATTAACTGATATAACATTGGGACTGGGAGGTTGTATCCAAGGAAAAATTGAAATAATACCGAAGAAGACTCGTGCCGCAGCCACAGAAATTCTCCTACTGTGCGGTGTAGTGCTCCCTAGGGGCACAACTTGCAAAATGCCTCCTAAAACTCCGGAAATCTCGAGTAAGAAACGCAGGAGTAACACAGGACCTTCCTACTGTATCAGTATTCAGATCCTCCACAATCATTGGAGGGGGGAAAATGATGCATAATATGAAAAATACTCTCACACGTAGTTCAGTATCTACATATGTGTATAGTTCAATATATACAAATATATATGCTCTCTGGTATAGCTCAAATGACCTCAACGTACAAAGAGGAAAAAGAAAGCATAGACATGGTTACGTCTTGGGCCTACACCTCCACCTTTCAGTAATTTTAACAGTAATATTCAATCAAGAGAAAGAAAAAAATGAATTCAAAAGAAAAATGAGTCATCTTGCTCCACAGATACAACTTGGTCGTAATATCTAGTCACTGTATCTTCAGGTTTTGCATAAATGCAGAACTTAATCTGATTTGTTGGCGGGATGCATATCAGATTTGGTACACATTTGGACGACGGTGTCATTAGCTTGCGTTTCCTACCTGCAGTAGAATTTGGTGCCGTTTGCCAAGTAGCCATCATAATGAGCATTTAGCAGGTCCCCTTTCTTGCTTTTGGGAGAACAGTTTTCTGGAAGATGCAAAACTTCTATTTTCACTTCATCCATACTTTCCTCTAGTTTTTGTCCCTGAGTAAAGAGAGAAAAAAGGCTTAAAGCCTGCAAGAAAAGAACGCATTTAAGGGAAAAATGCATGAGTCCCAAAAGATCCACCAGACCACTTTCCTGTATTCTTCCACCCTCTCACTAGGCTCTAGACGCGTGGCATTGTTACGTCAGAGAGAGGCGCTGGAGGTGGAGCCTTGTCACACCTCCAAGGGGCGGTGCTTGTCTGGGCTGGGTGGGACTCGGGCTGTGCCGCAGAAAGCCATTCCTAACTTGGTCGGACGCTGGGTGGCCAGGCAGAGGTTTTGCTCGCTACCGTGACGTTCCCCTTTTATTTTACCGGGCGGTTTTGTATTGATTGTCCTGGAGGGTGTGAAAAACGTCAGAAACGCTGCAAGCGCTGGAAGCTTGCAAAGCAGAGATACTATTACTCAGTCCGAGAGTTTTCTAAGTGTGACTTAACCGACCGACTTCTGATTAATTTTACTTGCCCTGAAAGTGAATTTTTAAAAAATATTTTGAGATACAAATTTTCTCCCCATCTTGCCCCTCCCCCCACCCCAAGACAGACTGCATTCTGACTACCCCTTCCCTCAATCTGCTCTCCCTTCTGTCCCCGTCCCCTTCCCCCCCCCCCCCCCCCGTCTTATCCCCTTCCCAATCTACTTTCCTGTAGGGCAGGAAAAATTTCTATACCCCATTGCCTGTATATCTTATTTCGCAGTTGCATGTAAAAACAATTTCTAACATTTGTTTTTAAAACTTTTGGGTTCCAAATTCTCTCCCTCCCTCCCCAACCACCGCCACTGAGAAGGCAAGCAACTTGATACAGGTTATAAATGTGTAGTCATGCAAACACTTCCATAATAGTCACGTTGTGAAAAACTGTATTTTCCTTCATCCTATTCCACCCATTTATTCTATTCTCTCCTTTGACCCTATCCCTCCTCAAAAGTGTTTGCTTTTGATTACCCCCTTCCCCAGTCTGCCCTCCCTTCCAACATCCCCCCATGTCTTATTCCCTTCCCCTCTATTTTCCTGAAGGGTAAGATAGATTTCCATACCCAATTGAATGTGTATGTTATGCCCTCCTTAAGCCATATACAATAACAGTAGGATTCACTCATTCCCTCTCACCTTCCCCCCTTTCCCCACTGTAAAAGCTTTTTCTTGTGTTTCATGTGAGAAAATTTACCCCATTCTACCTCTCCCTTTCTCCTTCTCCTAGTATAATCCTCTCTCACCACTTAATTTTATCTTTAGATACCCCTTCATCTTCAACTCACCCTGTGCCCTCTGATGAATATATCTTTATCTATATATACATATACATATATATTGATTTATATTTATTTTCCCTCCAATTACCCTAATACTGAGAAAGGTCTCATGAGTTACAAAAACCATCTTTCCAGGTAGGAATGTAGGACAGCTAGGTGGCCAAGCAGATAGAGCACTGTCCTGCAGTCAGAAGGACCCAAATTCAAATTCGGTGATACTCACTAGCTGTGTGAGTCACTTAACCCTGAATGCCTCACCAATAAAAAAAACCATGTAGGAATGTAAACAGTTCAACTTTAATAAGTCCTTTATGATTTCTCTTTCCTGTTTACCTTTTCACTCTTCTCTTGAGTCCGGTATTTGAAAGTCAAATTTTCTATTTAGCTCTGGCCTTTTCATTAAGGATGCTTGAAAGTCCTCTATTTCAATGAATACCCATTTTCCCCTTGAAGGATTATACTCAGTCTTGCTGGGTAGTTGATTCTTGGTTGTAATCCTAGTTCCTTTGACCTCCAGAATATCATATTCCAAGCTATCCAATCTCTTAATGTAGAAGCTGCTAAATTTTGTGTTATCCTAATTGTATTTCCACAATACTTGAATTGTTTCTTTCTTGATGCTTGCAATACTTTCTCCTTGACCTGGGAACTCTGGAATTTGACTATAATATTCCTAGGAATTTGGGGTTCTCTCTGAAAGTGAAATTTTGAAAGTGCTTGGAGACCTTTGGTTGGTGAAGTAGCTGGCTACAAACATTGATTTCAAAGTTTTAAAGGAAAATAACAACTGCAGGGGAAATGATTTCAGTCTGGTTTTCCTGGTTCCAGTCTCCCTTAGGGCAGCAATAGAAAATCCTATGCCTGGGAATAGGATTGCTAAAGGTTCCAGTAATTTCTTGAGGCTTTTAAGAAAGTACCAACCCTGTTCATTGTGGGATGTGAGCAAATGCCAGAACCTCATTCCGTAATGGGCTTCCCCCCCATCATGCATTAAGCGTTTCCTTCTGAGTCCAGTAAAGAGGTGGGTGTGTTAACATATAAGAGGAGATACCTGGGTGCAGCTAAACATCTCAGCTAAGTTACCTGAGGATATTCAAACACCGGCCAAACTAAATGTCTTGTTAGGCTGCTTGGTAGGCTGCTTATTTTCTCTGGCTCCAGGATTTCTTAGTAGTGGGTTTCTCTTGAATAAAGTTACAAACCTTGAAAAGAAAGAAGCTGGACTCTCATCGCTGAGGGTGGGGAGGAATTCTTAGTTCAGTCCAAATCAACAAATATTTAATATCTTTCAGGGCTATTGCTGGGGCTTGGGAGAGACAAAGATGCAAGTCAGTCCTGGAGCTGTACAATTAGTAGAGGGGAAAGAAGATACCTACCCTCAAATGTTCACAAGTCAAAATAAAGGTGCCAGTCATGTAATGCCACGTATATAATAATATACAGTGCTGTGACCTTGGGCAAATCACTTACTCTCTCTGGATCCCAATTTCCTCACTGTTAAAACATTTGAAGGGTCTGAATTAGATTGGGAAGACAGCTGGTTGAGCTGTCAAAGGAGGACCTAAAGTCATAATCCTACATCTTGAGGATTTCTTACTACCTGTGTGACTTTGCCAAGTGGCTTAACCTTCCTTACATCTTAGTCTCCTCATCTGTAAAATGAAAGGTTTTGGATTAAATAGCTTCTGAGTTTTCCTCCTCCAGGACCCAGAGCCCCAAGTCCATTTAGGCAGCTCTAAATCTCTAATTAAATTAAATTTCTAATCCTAAAGATCCCAAGAGTAGGCAGGGAAGATACGGAACTTACAAAAAGAATAAAGAAAACATCTTCAATTTTATTCAACAGCAACAAAATCATGACTTGGTGCTTACTTGTATCATATAACATTTGTAAAGAACAAAACAAAATCCAGGCACATTCCCAGAGGCTTTTATTACCTGACAGTAAGAACATCCTTATTCCTTAATGCTTGCAACTAGCTATTTGATAGGAACACAAGAAGCATGCACCATGCTCAGGGCACTAGTATTTTTTGTTCACTTCAGGGCATCTCTCTAATTCACAAGTCAGCATTATTAATTAGGATAAGAGCATTAAAGCTTGGAAGGGACTTTGGAGGTCATCAAGTTGTTTTATAGATGAGAAAAAGAGCGGTTAAGTAACTTACCCAGGGTCACACAGTAATAAGTGTCTCATTCAAACCAAACCTGATTATAAAGAAAGCAGTTAGGATGGGAGAGAGATTCTAGTTCAGAGAGGCCGCCAGGTGGCGGAAGGTTTGAATCTTGCTTCAGACACTACTAACTGGGAACCCTGTATAAGCTATAGAACTTCTCTCCTCCACGGTTTTCTCATCCGTAAGAGGAAGGCGTTAGATTAGATGACAGCAGAGTTCCCTTCCATCTTTAAGGAAGATTAGAATTCGAATCTTGCCTCAGACACCCACTAGCTTGTGCCCTTGGGAACTTAACTATGTCTCTCAGGCTATTTCCTTACCTATGAAACAAGGAGTTGTATCCTCAGAGGTCCCTTCCAGGTCTAAAGAAGGAAGGAAACAGTCACATATTAAGTGCTTACTAGGTTCAGGGGACACAAATATACTGCTAAGGACATTAATAGCTGTGTAAACCCATGCAAGACATTTACACTGTCAGGCTGTTTCTTCATTTATAAAATGAAGGAATTGGAAGTCCCTTTCAGTCCCAGAAAGACCCGAGTTCCAATTCTGATACAGGCACTAATTGAGCAAGTCACTTAACTTAGAGCTGTTGAGTGGTTTCAGTCGCGTTCTATTTTCCACGACCACATTTTGGGGGTTTTCTTGGCAAAGATATTGGAGTGGTATGCCATTTCCTTCTCTAGCTCATGTTAAAGATTTTACAGATGAAGAAACTGAGGCAGAGTTAAGTAACTTGCCCAGACTCACACAGCTAATGTCTGAGGCCAGACTTGAACTCAGGAAGATAACCTAGTTGCCCATTAACCTTGGGTGGTGAGGTGGTGGTGGTGGTCGTCGTGGTAGGATAAATACTACTTGTTTCCCAAGACTGTTGTGAGGCTTAAGTGAAATAGCTTTACAAACTTTAAAGCATTACATGTATACTAGATTGTTGTTGGTAGCAGGAGCCAGAAGCATGTGCAGAAGATGGAGTGGACCCTGGGATTTCAGGGACGTCCAGCAGTGCCGAGGTGACAGTTTCCCTGGGGGGGTTGTTTTTCCATTAAGGGGGAGAAAAGACAAGGAGGAGGAGGAGGGAAGAGGAGGAAGAAGAGAGAGAAGGGGGAGGGGGAAGAGGGAAGAAGAAAAGGGGAGGAGAAAGCAGAGAGGGAAAAGGAGAGGGGGAGGAGAGAAAAGGAGAGAAGGAAGAAGAGGGCAAGGGGGAGGAGGGGGGATGGGGAGGAGGAGGAAAAGGAGAGGGAGAAGGGGAATGTGGGAGGGAGAGAGAGAGAGAGAGAGAGAGAGAGAGAGAGAGAGAGAGAAGAGAGAGAGAGAGAGAGAAGAGAGAGAGAGGGAGGGAGGGAGGGAGGAGGGGGGGAAGGAGAGAAGGAAGGGGAGAGGGCAGTGGGGAGGAGGACTGTGAGACGGGGGATCCCCTCCCTTCCACAGGCTCCGCCGCCGGGGTGGGGTTTCTCTCGGAGCCGGCCCCTTTCATCCAGGAAGTAAAAGCCGTGTCGGGGTCAGAGAAAATAAACGAAAAGCCCGAGGGGAGGGAGGGAAGGAAGGAGGGAAGGAGGCGGGCCGGAGGGAGGGAGGCGAGCGGCAGAGCCGGGAAGGGGCGAGGGTAGCCTGGCGCAGGGCACGCGGCAGCTGCGGGCGGCGCACGCTCAGGCTCCGGCTCGCCCCCAGCCTGCAAGCCCCGGCGGGGAATGACGAGGCCGGCGCCCCGCTGCTGCCCAGCCGCTGCTGTTCGGGGCGGGGGCCGGGGCCGCGCAGACCTTCCCGGCGCGGGGAGCCTCCTCCAGAGGGGCTGACTCTGATCGCTGCCGCTCCCGCCCCGGCGGAAGGCGCAGGCCCCGGGGAGGGGCCGCCGGAGCGGGAGCAGCGGCGCCGGAGAGGAGGAGGCCGAGCCCAGGGCGCCCGCGAGGAGGATGCGCGGTGCCGGGCTCTGAAGGATGGAGGGGGTTTTGTACAAGTGGACCAATTATCTCACAGGTGCCATGGGGCCCGGGGCCCCGAGAGTGTGTGTGTCTGTGCGAGAGTGTGTGTGTGTCTGTGCGCGCAAGGGGGGGGCATGGGAGTGCAGGTGCAGGGAGGTGAGTGTGTGAGTGTATGTGTGTGTGTGTGTGTCTGCGACTGTGTCTATGTCTGTGCGCGCAAGGGGGGGCATGGGAGTGCAGGTTCGGGGAGGTGAGTGTGCGAGTGTATGAGTGTGTGTGTGTGTGTGTATGTGTATGAGATGGGTATGCTCCTAGGAGGGGAGCGTTGTGTAACGTGCACGTGATGAGCATGGTCTTAGGAGAAAGATGTTGTGAAGCAAGAATATGTATGTGTATGTATGATGGGGAGAAGAGTGCATGTGTGTCTCTGTGTGTGTTTAGGAGATGAGTGTTGTGCATATGTGTATGATAGAATATGGTCTTGAGTGTTGTGAAGCATGTGTCAGTGTGTGTGTTATGTGTGTGTATTAGGAGAAGGGTGCTGTGTATATGTATGTATGACAGGATATGGTCTTAGAAGGGGTGCTGTGAAATGTGTGGGTATGTGTGTATGATGAAATATAGTGTTAGGAGAAGAGTGTTGTGAAGTGTACGTATGTGTATGTATGAGTGTGATGAATATGGTCTTAGGAGAAAGGGTGTTTTGAAACAAGCATATGGATTATGTGTATGATGGGTCTCTTAGAAGAAAAGGTGCTGTCAATCTTGGAAGCCGCATGGAGAAAGTAGATTAAATTGGGGGCCCATCCGTCTCATCCATTCTCATCCCAGTCCAATCTGCTTTGGTTTTGCCCAAACCCCTCTGTTCCCTTCTCTCCTTCCCTGCAGTTATCGTGCAAGCCCCATTGTTGATCCCTTTGAAAAACTTCAGCCTTCTTTTGCAACAAGCTAGCCTCAAAAGTGTGTGTCTGTGCTTGATTTGGACAAGGGTGGCAGTGGTGGTGGAGGTGGGAATTTGGGAGTGTGAAAGATAGTATAGGTGGTACTCTTTTCTAGCTTAGAACCTCTTTGCCTCTGGTTGTTTTTTTCTTTTGTCATTCCTATCTAACGCATTTGTCAGCCCCTATTTACCTCCCCTCTGCCAGCTGTTTTCTATTTGTCTTCTCTGTTTTGTCAATTCCTAGTAAACCCTGAGAGAAGTTCCTAGAGAGAGAGAGGTAACCACTACCTCTTCTGTCTTAATCGTTATTCCTCTTCTCTACGACATCTTCCAAAGGAAGACTGACATTTTGTCATTTTGGTAGTGTTTGAATTGTCTGGTTGTATGTGCTGCTTATGTTTCTTTAAATTTTGTATTAAAAAAAATAACAGTTTTTTGACAACTTTGAATAAACCATTTGAAATACCTTTAGTAATACAGTATTTCTAAAACAAAATGAAAAAACAAACAAAAAAATCCCAAAACCCAACAACAAATAACCTCCCCCATTCAAGCTTTTAAAGGTTTCCACAGCCTTGAGTTTAGAATTGTTTCCTTTAGCATCATATAGAATAAGGATCTCTTTTTAGTGAGGCATTAGTTTATTCTTTTAATTCTGGCAACTAGTTAGACTTTGAATCAGGGCCACATACTAAAGTGAACTGATTAGTTTTAAACAAGAGTTTGAGGGAGGGAGGGTCTTTCCTGAATGAAACTGAATTGAATAAATAAATGCCTAGAAATGGCCTTTAGTAGAATAGGGAGGCCAGCAGGTATGTGGATTGCTAAATATTTGAAGAATTTTCTAGATAATGTAGACTAACCTTAAAATGAAATGGATTTAAAGTATGCAGTTGTTGCAGTTTTCAGTAAGCTATTCAGGCTTTAAAATCTTGACTTTATATCCATTTATTCTTCTTTCTGGGGAAGAAAAGCATTAAATTCTTTGGTAATCTTACACCACCCTAAGCTCCTCTGCATCTAATCTCATGTTAAGTCTGTCTATGTACCTCCACACTGAGCTAGGATTGCCCCAAATTGGATAGGCATATTCCATTTATTGGAAGATAAAGGCCAGATTTATATCCAGATTTGTAGTGTATATTTTATTCTCCCTTAAGAGCCAAGCTATTAACATCTAAAAGAAATGTTTCTTTTAATAGCAGATATTTTCCAAACAGCTCCGTGGAACAGTTGGGCTGTTTTGATGTAGCTATGTGGTTGAAATGCAGTCTTCCTTCCTTGCAACAGAAGGGCCAAGCACAGCTTTAATCTGAGTTATCTCTGGTGCTGGAGCCTGAAGTGTCAGGGTTGGTTATACTCTCCAGGCTTTAGAAACCACTTAATGCAGAGTTTCCTAGCAAACTCTGTAATTGAGATGAGACATAATTTAGTAACCGACAGTAAGTATGTTCTCATTGGTCGTTTTTCTTGTCAAATATGACACCAAGCACAGTTGGTTGCTTTTTAAAACCACAAATGTTTTAATGCTTTCATCAGATATTCTGAAGTATTCCACATAACATGGAAACTTGTTGAAACTTTATCTGATGTTTGGTAGAATAGGTTTCTTTTTTTAAAAAAATGTTTCAGGTTACCCTTCGTCAGACTGTTCTGTATATAATTAAAATGTTTTATATGCTGATGTTATTTGTAAATGCTTTTTGATGGGGTAAGGTTTTGATAATTTTAAGTTTCCTTGAGTTGAAAAAAAATTGTTCTTTTAAAAAAAATTGAATAGGTAGGGAATCCATTCTTCCATCTGCATATTTATGTAGTCCTCTTTGGTGCATGTTCATAGGAATGTCACGTTAAATATTACCTAAAATAGTAAGTGATTTAATAGTCACAAATTACAATTAATGTACAGTTGCAATGTACAATGTACAATGAATACACAGTACACTGAACCTAGGGGTTAGTAGTTTCAATAGTACCATAGTTCTATCTACTATAAGGTCTAGGAAATCACTTTGGTGACTATATCTACTTTTAGTAAAACAGTGCACTTGTACGTTAGTAATGTAGTACACATTTGCAGTATGCTGAAAGGCACATACGTGTTCTTTGGCACACTCCAATGTCCCAGGACAGAAATGAATCTACTTCAGTATTGCCCCAGTTGTTCACTCTCTTCTTTTCCTGGGTCTGGCTGCTGCTTACTTCCATGGAAGGCTCACCGAGAATAGCTATTCAAACTGAGTAGGCAAAATGAAAAGGAAAGAATATGTTTGCATTGCTTTAATGCATCAGTCCAGTCCAAACCAAAAGCATTTATTAAACACTTAATATTTGCATGCATGTCAGCATGAGAATACTATTGTGAATAGAACTATGCCTCATTGAGTATATTTGGGATAATTAAAGATTGTGCATTTAAGCTTTTTCTATTATCTCAATACAAATTTTTTTATGTGCTTCCTTGATTTCTTAAGTAGTGTATATACTGAACACAAAATTAACATTTTCTTAATGTCTCTGTGTCAGCCATTATGACCATCAATTACTTTACTGGCTTACACCTCAATTTTGCTCTTAGAAACTATTGAGAGAGAGAAAAAAAAGAAGCTATTGAGATGTGAGCTCTTTGTTCCTAGATTAAAATAGCTCTTAACTACTATCTTTTTTGAATTCTGTGGTCTGTTTTTTATAATTTTTCTACTTTGATCTCATTTCTGGGTTTCACCTAGTCATTTTTTTCCTATTGCTTCTTTTAGGACACCTGTATCTTTCTAAAGTTTGTTGTATTCTGGGAAACTAGATAACCAATTTAAAAAAAAATAATATTATCTAAAATAGGAACAAATATTTTATGTGAGAGCAGGAGTGGCCTATATAAGCTTTGTTGTAGGTAGAGGTATAAATAGCCTGGACTTTGGAAAAATGCTACACTGAGCATGACTTAGGATTTTAAGATGGGATTTGGAGCTGGAAGGAACTTTTGAAGATCATCAGATTCAACACCCTTAACCACTAACCCCTATCTTCTGACCTCTGCCCTGCAAAAACAGGTCGTAGATTTATAGAGGTAGAAGGAAGGGATCTCAAAGGCCAGTATAGAGTTGAATCCCCTCATTTTATTGATGAGGAATTGAGCCAAGAGAGGTTTAAGTGACTTGCTGGCAGGATTTGGACCCAGTTCTCCTAACTTCAAGGCTGGCATTCTAACCACTGTTCATTCATATCTGACTCTTCATGACCCCAGTAGGGGTTTTGGCAAACATACTGGAGTGGTTTGCAATTTCCTTCTTCGGTTTGGTTCACTGTACAGATGAGGAACTGAGGCAAACAGGATTAAGTAACTTGCCCAGGGTCACACAGCTAGTAAGTGTCTGAGGCCAGATTTGAACTCAGCAAGATGAGTCTTCCTGACTCTAGCCCTGACACTTTATCCACTGTACTACCTAGCTGCTCCAATTCTAACCACTACACCAGCGTTAAGCAAAATCAGACATTATGTAAAGGCTGAATCTGATTACATCTTGTTGGTACCATCTCACTTCTCTCTTGAGAAGAGCCTTTTCTGCTGCTGGTATGGTTTGTAAAGTACAAAGTGTAGCATCTACAGCTCTTTCATGTGGTAGTACCAGCCATCAGTGAGATGAGATGCCACATGCCTGAAGATTTGGAAGTGAGATTGGGCCTGTTTGTTCTTAACTTTTTTTTAATTCGTGTCTGGCCGGTCCTGGGGAAAAAAAGTTTTAACAGTTTAGCGCATAAGTAGCTAAGCTAACCAAGATTTGAACTTCTTCCATTTTTTACATATTGATGCTTTTCTTTTTTCTGGCTGGACACTTGAAAGATCTGAACTATATTGTGATTTAATCGTCACAAAAGGATCAGGAACAGGCAGACTGCCTGTAGATCCAGAGTGAGCTTGATGAACATCTAAGGAACACAGTGACCTCAACTTTCTCATTTGGAATGGAAACAGGTGGGAGTTGGGGGCAGAGGGAAGCTATGCTTCGCTTCAGCAACTTTGCCTCCTGTCCTGGGTGTAGCTGTGTACCCTGGAGATACTCACTAAATATCAATTGAGTGAATATATTAGTAATCTGGCTTCAGGGAAAGAAAAGGGCATTCTTGGTCTTTTATTTGGGATTTTGGATCCTGTAGCACTCTGTCCACTTTTGCCCTATTATTCACTTGCTGCTAACCAGGGCTGGAGAAAGTCACCCAAACTCCTCGAGTGGATTCACTACAGATTAATGTTATCTAATGTCAGCTGGGTCCTCCTTGCAAAATGGCAGTCTTTTCTTGGCTCTCCCTCTTCTCACCAAGGCTCTTCCAACCTTCCTTTCTCTCCTTAAATCTCCCATACTACCCCCTCCTTGCTTCCTTTTAGCCGAAGACTTTGCCACAGACCTTATTAAGAAAATAAGCCCTTCACCACCTTGAGTTCCCACTTTCCCCCATTCTGCATTTGAAAACCCCTTCACATTATCAGCTGTTCTCTCCTTTACTTTCGCCTCTCATGAAGAGGTGGCTGTTTGCTTTACGAAGGCCAACCCCTTTGCATGTGCCCTTTGTCCCATCCCCTTCTGAGTCCTCTGGTGTTCCCTTCCCTGTCATCTCTAGCTATTTACTCTTTCCCCGCTGTTTATAAAAATGCCCCTGTCTCTGTTTTCCCTTAAAAACTTTCACTTGTTTTCATGATTCTGCCAGACTATCTGTAGGGTGTCTTATTAAACTACTAAAAACCTGAAACTGCCCTGAGACATTTGGGACACCCTGTAGATATTGCCTCCCTTGTGTAGCAAACTAGAAAAAGGCTGTTTACGCTTCTTGCTTCCTTTTCCTCTTCTGTCATACCTCAGTCTCTTGCAGTCTGGCTTCCAGCCTCATCACTCAACTGGAAATACTGTCGAAGCTTACCAGGAATCTCTTAATTGTTCAGTCTGATGACCTTTTCTCAGTTCTTGTCCTTTTTGACCTCTCTGCAGCTTTTGAAACTGCTGAACCCTCCCTTCTTCCTTCATATTCTTTCTTGGGTTTTTGTAACACTTCTCTTGGTTTCTCCTTCTAGCTGTCAGGCTGTTTCTTTTCAGTCTTCTTTGCTTGCTCATCATGCATTTTTAATCCCCTAGCCATGGATGTCCTCCAAGGCTCTTGTCCAGGGTGGCCTTCTTTTTTCCTCTTGGAACTATCATCTCCCCTGGGTTCACTTATCAGTGGCTATGTATTACCTCTAGGATCCAATACAATCTCTTCTGTTTGACATTTAAAGCCCTTCATAGCCTGGTCTTCATCGGGTTCCTTGAGGTCGAGAATTGTTTCATTTTTGTGTCTTAAGCACCAACGTAGTAAGTGCATGGCACATTTTTTTGACCACACTGTGATTTTTTTTTTTAACTGGTCCTGTGATTTCATCAGTGTCAGGAGGGAAGCTTCCTATGAAGAGCTTCCTCTACCGTAGTTGATGTAATTGTCTTAAAGTGTTTCCTGGGACTCTGAGAGGCCAAGAGAGCAGGGCCACAGTATCGACGTATGTCAGAGATTGGACTTGAAGTCAGGTCTTCTTAACTGCAAGGCCGGTTCGTTATCCGCTATACAACACTGCCTCCTGCCTTTCATATATTAGTACTTAATATATTTGTTGAATGAATGAAGAAAAGAATAAAAGAATATCCTAACCTTGCTGGATTTTATGTGTAAACATTGACAGTAGAGGGTATGCTGTGAGAAAAGGCATATTGTTCAAATAAAGCATCTGTAAGCAACAGACTTGGAGACTATTATTAAAAAAAATTTACAAACATATATTCCTATACTCATCCTGAGATTGCACAGAAATCTTTTCAACTAGGGGAAAGGGGAAATGGGTGGATATACCTAAGTAAAATATAATTGGTAAAACTGTGTTAACAGAGCCAAAAAAAAAAGTAGTTGATTTAAAACCAAATAATTGCCAGTAGTATCTTTCCAAGGTGGAAATGCGTTCTTCCCCCCCCCCCCCCCAACTAACATTCTGCTATTTGTGCTCCTTCTAGGTTGGCAACCTCGCTGGTTTGTTTTAGATAATGGGATATTATCCTATTATGATTCACAGGATGATGTGTGCAAAGGGAGCAAAGGAAGCATAAAGATGGCAGTTTGTGAAATTAAAGGTAAGAGAACAATTGAAATTAGAAGAAAATTTAAGTCAGCAAGTGGAGGAAGAATTGGGCTTCTATGTATCCAAAAAGTTGAGAAAACCATCCAATTCATATGGCATTTAGGGAGTCTTGTACCAATTTTTTCCCTAGCAAAAAGGCATTCTCAAACATAGTTTTTGTTGTTTCTCCACTTATCTAAAGTGGAAATTCAAAATTCATGGTATAATCTTTGCACTAAAATTGGTTGACTTGTCAGAGAAGGACTCTCTAAAGTAAAATTCTTGCATCCACTCAGATTCTGCAAGTTATCTTTCATTGCCAAAAGGCATCTTAAAAGTTCAGAAGATGAGTTCTAAGAGATGGGTGAGTTCCCTTAGTAATATTTTGAAGCGGTCTGCCTGTTAGAGTCTGAGCACTGTTTGGGATGCAATAGTAAAAACTTTTGAATGGTGCACATTCTGGAGGAGAGATAATGTATTTGATCATGCTGAGAAAAATAAAAGTTCGGATTATTCACTTCATTTTGATGTGTAGGAATGGAAGGGTTGAGATCAGGTAAGTGATTGTGAAAAGTAATGGATTCTTGTTGGAAAAGTGGGAAGGAAAAACTAGACCAGCAAGAGATTAGCATTATTGGTGATGGATTTGTAATCTTGATCGGGTCCTCTTTCCAGTAGTGTAGCCTGCATCTCATCCATGCGCTTGTCATCACTGTAATGCATTCTTTTCCATGTTCTTCCTCAGATCTTCCCAAGAGAGTCCACCCAATGTATGGAGCCTTCCTGTATATTTATAGAGACAGTTAAATGGCCTAGCTGATAAGAGTGCTGGACCTAGGCTAGGGAAGGACTGGGTTCAAATTCTACCTCAGATACTTATGAGGCTTCTGAGCTTTAGTCTTTAGTTTCCTTGTATGTAAAAAGGCAGGTCTGGATTTGATGACCTCTCAGCCTCCTTCTACCTCTAAATTTCTGATCTTGTGATCTCTTGACGTAGTGGGTACCAGTGTGAATGGGGATCTTTCTTAAGCCACCTCCTCCTTCAGTCATAGATTTCTTGGATGTTGTTGCTGTCTTTTATGTAATCCTCAGTTGATAGTATGCTATATCCTCCTACACCCACTCTGTGACTCTCCATTGCCCTTTCAGTGACCTGTAACTCTCAAAGACTGTGGTGTTCTGTGACTCTCAACATCAGACAAAAGAATATTGATGTCAAAAAGATGGGCCTTTGTTGCAAGGAGAAGCTTGGGACCATTTAAAAGGCCCTATGTGCATTTAGCTAGTTAAGTTAATGTTTATAGATGATCTAACATTGTGTGATTCTGAGTACCCTCTACCCCCTTTTCCTCTGCTCTGCCACTATCAATGCCAAGTGGAAGGTGGCCTCACTTTGTGTGTTGCTCTTTTATGGGCTGTCATAGTCTAAGAAGTCATCACTGCCTGGCCAGAGTATGAGGTGATAAGCCTCTCTGTACTAAACTAGGCTGTTTCTGGGAAAGCAGGCACTCAGAAGGCTTTCCAGTTGAAGCTGCCTGAGCTTGAACCCTGCTGGAATAGTCTTTGAGAGCCTTAGGGTACCTCCATGCCCCAGTGAGGCATTGGATCAGGGATCTGTTCATATTAATAATAGCTTCTAATTATGGAGCACTCAGAAGTTTTGCACCCTGCTTTGTATATATTTCTCATTTGAGCCCCACAGCAACCATGTATTCTGGGCATTGTCCCTTCCCATGTTATAGAGGAGGAAACTAAAGCTCAGATGAGGGTTTATGTGACTTATTCATGATCACAGGGGTAGTAAGTTTTAAAGGCAGAATAGACCATGTCATGTGAGATTATTGGTAGCAGGAGCTGGGTAAAAGGAGGAAATAAGAAAGGAAACAAGCATTTATTAAATATCTACTAGTATGAGTCCAGCACTGCATTAAATGCTTTATGAATGTTATTTCCTTGGATACTCACAACAACCCTGGGGAGGTAGGTGCTATAATTGCCACCATTTCACAGATGAGGAAACTGAGGCAGACAGGTTAAGTGACTTGCCCAGTTAGTACCTGTCTGAGGGCAGATTTGAACTCAGATCTTCCTGACTTAAGAAAACCTAGGGCCCTATTCACTTCACCACCTAAATGCCTCTGTTAAGTAAAAAGTAACTAATAAAATGCTTGGAGTGAGTGTCCTTAAACACATGCCTGGTCTGTTCCTACTGTGATTGGGTAAGTATATTCATAGTAGTGATTATGGGGGTGGAGAAAAATAGACTGTTTGACATGCAAAAGTATTGGCAGGATGGGTGAAGGGAAGAAAAGAAGAACAGATTCTTGCGTGCACCAAAGTTAATCCTTTAAAAGGTGGTATCTAAAATTGTAAGGTAAAGTATAGAAGAAACCCTCTAGAACAGAGCTTTTTGGATTTGGATTTTCATGGATTTTGTGGAGCATCATAAATTTGGAACTAGAACTAAGGACCTTGGAGATTGGTTAGTGTAATTCTCTCATTTTACAGATGAAAAAACCGAGGCCTAAAGAGTTAAATGACTTGTCCAAGTTACACAAGGATAGATTAAGTAGTAAAGTTGAAATTCAGACACTCTTGACTGGAGTGAAGTGCTTTCTCTATTACACCATGATTGCAGGCATCCCTTGTTTTATTGTGCTTCATAGATACTGCATGTTTTACAAATTGAAGGTTTGTGGCAACCCTCCATCAAGCAAGTCTGTCTGTGCCAATTTCCCCTCAGTGTGTGCTCACATCGTGTCTTTGTGTCACAAACGGTTGCATAGAGGTAAACTTGTTACCATTGAGGATACTCAGAAGATTGTACTCTGAGGGTATCTTTAAAAGAAGCATTCCAAAAAGAAGTGCTATTCTTGCTGAAGGTGTACATTCTACTTTGAATCTTATAAAAAACTTATTAAATAAATCTGTTACCTTAATTGTACCATGTGCTGGAAAGTCAATATGGAATATAACTGTTAGCCTATGAGACAGGTTTTAGCTTGTTCTCCAGCGGCTTCTCTTGGAATTTTAGGAGGTAGGATTGATTTTAAAGCTCATGACTGAAACTCTAGAAGCCAGAGCGTACGCTAAGGATCCTTAGTTTCATTACACTGGTACACATTTTCTGTTCCTTTTACGGGATACCCTATCTCTATTTCTGCCCCAGCTGCTACCAGTGCCTGGAAGATACTCCTCCCTTTTCTCGACCTCCTAAAGCCATTAACAGCCTTCAAAGATCAGTTCAGATGCCACCTTCTACGCGAGGACTTTTCTAATCTCCAGGCTGATGCTTCTCCCTCTTCCCCCTCTTCCCTCTCTTCACCCTTTTCCCCCTCTCCCAATACCTAATATCTGTTTTGCATATATTTTTATTTACATATGTGTTTAATCAAGTCTGTAGACACTTTTTTTTTATCAATTTATTTATTTTTAGTTTTCAACATTCACTTCCATAAGATTTTGATTTTTAAATTTTCTCCCTCTCCTACTCCCCCCCCCCAGACAGCATATAGGCTGTCTTATATAGGTTCTACTTATACATTCATATTAAGCATATTTTTACATTAGTCATGATATAAAGAAAAATTAGACCAATGGGAGGAACCATGAGAAAAAAGAAAACAAAACAACAAAAGAAATGGAGAACAAATAGTATACTTCTATATGCATTCAAACTCCATAGTTATTTCTCTGGATGTGGATGCAGGCACATATTAAGTGCTTACTATGTGCCAGGCCCTGTGCCAAGTGTTGGGGATTCAAAGGAAAGGGAAGAACAGGCCATGCTCTCAGAAGAGCCCACAGTTTAACAGGGGAGACACCTTGCAAATAGCTATGTACAAGCAAGATACATACAAGATACATTTGGCCATGATGATCTCAGATGGAAAGCTGTAGTGAGAATTAAGAAAGACTTCTTGCAGAAGGTGGGATTTTTGAGCTCAGGATTTAGATGCAGGAAGACTGGGTTTAAATCCTGCCTAAGATGCTAGCTGATCCCAGGCAAGTCACTTAACACTGTTGGTGTCTGTGGGGATAGTAATAGCACCTATCTCCCAGTGTCGTTGTGAGGCTCTAATTAGTTAACATATGTAAAGGGCTTCACAGCCTTCAAGCTGTATACAAATGCTGGCTGTTCTTCATCATCATCATCATCATCATCATCATCATCATCATCATCTTATCTGGGACCTGAAAGAAGTCAAGGAAGCTAGGAGATAAAGATGAGATGGGACAGAACTTCGGGCCTAGAGGACAGCCAGTGTGTGTACATGTTGTTTCCCTGATAGAATATTAACTCTTTGAGGGCAGAGACTGTTTTGTTTTTGTCTCTCCAGTGCCTGGCACATAGGAGGCCCTTAATAAATGCTTATCGATCGATGGATGTGCCTGACTTTTGTAAGAATGATGAAGTCATATTTACTCTGGAGTTACCACAATAGATACAGTCATAACAAGGCAACTCAAGTCTGCCCCCTCCACCAAGCCTTTTCTGACCCTTTGGATTCATTCTTCTTTCTTCCTTTTCATAGTACATATTCCACCTAAAATTTTAAATAATAGTTTCATGAGTTACAGTTTTCTTTCCTAAAACCACATGGTTCACATGCTTTGAAGGCAGAACATGTTTTGTTTTTGTTAGTTTTTGTACCTGACCCTAAAGTTAATGCAATGCTGGGCGCACAGCAAAGAAGAAATACTTGTTGCCTGAATAGCATGTGAGACACACAACATCAGTTTTCCAGTCAAGGTATTAAGGCCATTTGCATGCAGTGACCCTGGGAAGGATTCTAAGAAAGGCCGTGTGGCCTAGGGGAAAGAATATTGAATTTGGAGCTAGGCAGGTTGTGGGCTTGAATCTCATTTCTGATGCTTAGAATCATAGATTTAGCATTCAGAGACATTAAAGATCATCTAATCCAAACACCCTCATTTTATGGAAGAGGAAACTGAGGTAAAATGAATTCCTCAGGGTCATATGAGTTGTAAATGGCAGAATCAGGATTTGAATCCAAATCTTTTGATTCCATTTAACCTTTCTGACTTCTTATTTGTATTGTAGGGATAATAAAAACTGTAGTATTTATTTACCAATGGATGGTGAGGCCATCCAGATTCTTCTGTTTGTGACTTTGTGCTGATTACATCGAGCCTTGGAATATTGTAAAATTTCCTAAATGAGATGAAAAGTCATTATCTATATAAGAGAAACCAAGTGGATGATGAATGCCCACTGTCAGAGATGTGATATGCAGTTAGATGGACAGCTCAGAGCTGATCCCATCAGTATGTATATCTTTGGACAAATCCTATAGCTATATGGTCAACTGGGCCCAGGATTGAATAGGAAGAAAAGATGGGGGGCTGTATTGCACGTGGAAATTGCATATTGGTTTCAGTGACTCCAGGTTTCTCCTTGAAACTGATCTTTTCCTTTTCACTGCAGTGTTTTGGGTGATACTATATATCTACAAATCATGGAATGCTATAATCTCTGAGGAATCAAAGTTACAATCAGTAAACATTTATTAAGCATCTACTGTGTACCAGGCACAGTGCTAAGCTCTGGGGATACAAATACAAAAAGAAAAGACAGTGCCTGCCCTCAAGGAGCTCACAATCTAATGAGGGTAAGGCAACACTCAAAAAAAGGATGAAAAACATGATGGAGAAATCCAAAGGAAAGTGCATCTGGGTGGGAAATGAAGAGCTGACTGGCCTGGGTCCTCCTTATATGGAGGTTTTGGAGCTTAGCACCCTGCCTTCTAGTCAGAAGGGCAGAGGGTACTGATTCGGTGTGAGTATCAAGGCTAACTTGATATTGCAGGATGATGGCTTTTCCCAATGATGAGTCTCCAGGGGGCATGATGGAGAAGGCAGAGGAGTTCAGCTGGTAGAAGGTGATGCCAGAGTGCAATGGAGGGATGCATTCTGGGTATAAATAGGCTGTAGCACAGTAAGAATGATAATTGCATGCTTGAAGCAGTGTAAAAGGTATCATCAAAGGGATGCATGCAACAGGAGGTGGGCCACTCATGTCATGCCAAGGAGGGTTAACCGACGGATAGCTGTGTGTTGCATCAGCTGACCCATGTAGTGTCAAGAGGTAGGGCTCCAGCTTGTTGGTTGGACCCGTTGTGGAAGATGTGGCAAGAGCTCCATAGGATAAGAAGGCATGCATAGTGGAAAGGGAACTGATCATGGAGTCAGAAGGTGTGGATTCAAATCTTGCCTCTGATGCTTAGTACCTAAATGACCTTGGGAATTCACTTTTTAATCTCCCTAGGCTTCAGTTTCCTCATCTGTAAATTGAAGTAGTTGGCTTCTGAGATCCTTTCCAGCAATAGATCTGTGATCCTAAGGTGTATATACATGGGATGAGCCCTGCAGCGTTGAGGGGAGCACCTTATCCCCCTCCCCTTCAGTGAGATCACAGATCCATTAAACTAGCCCAGGAAGACCAAATGAAGTAATAATACAGGCAGAACACTTGCTAAACCTAACAACGCTCTATAAATGTGAGTTGTCAACATGACTTTTATTATTGTTGTTGGCTAATTCTTAGGGGCCAGATCTGGAAAATGAATAAATGAAGCTAAGGAGGTTAGAGGGAAGAAGGGGGTGGTGCAGGATAGGTTAAAAATGCTTCTTCCTCATCCTTCTTTTTCCTCTTGGTTCGTTTTTCTCAGTAGTTCTCTCCTGCTCTCACCTCAGGTTGGCCAGCCTGGCCCTGGTTCTGGCTGGCTGAAGGGTGACCAGGCTATGGTGGGGAGAGTACCCCCATACTTCCTCCCTGTCTTCTTGCAAGAGCTTTGTGCTACCTGAATCAGTTTGTTCCTAGAGGCATCACTGCATTCTCATTTATTTCAGCTCCTAATGTTTCTTGTTCTCACTCACAGTCCACCCAGCAGACAATACAAGAATGGAATTAATCATTCCAGGAGAGCAACATTTCTACATGAAAGCTGTGAATGCCGCCGAGAGGCAGAGGTGGCTAGTCGCTCTGGGCAGTGCGAAAGCTTGTCTGACTGACACTAGAGCGAAAAAGGAAAAAGGTATCAAAAGATAAATATGGCTTTTATCTGTTTATCTTTTTATCTGTGTCTGTCTATTCCCCCACCTCCCCCAAGAGAATTGAGTCTTGTGGCCTGGTGATGGCTAGGTTCTTGTAGGGTGTACCAGCCATGGGGGGAGGGGGGGAAAGTGCAAAGAGGGAGGGAGTTTAACCACTAGAAGGTTCTGCTGAGTTAGAAAAGTTTCAAATGTTGTCTCAGGGGCAAACTCCTTGCTAGATAAGTGCAGAGAGGACCATTGTCTGAAGGCTGCCTTCCACAGAAATGAATTTTTATTTTGGCTATGGCCATTCATGAAAACTGCCAAGGTATGGAGAGAACACCTATAGGTGGAAGGAACGTCCCTCCCACCAATGAAATCCCAGATTCTTGAAGTCTTATAAGTCCATTTGTAAGTTGTTTCTTAAAACTCTGTCAAGGAGACAACCAAAGGATGAATTATTAATGGCTTTTGGAAATGGGAAAGAACTAATTAATTCTACAGAGATTGGTGACTAGTCACTGTTCTCTGTTTTCACTGAGGGTAGAACATGAGGAAATGGGCTTGAATTTCATCTGGAGGGATTTAGGTTAGATCAGATTGGCAGATTCCACAAAACCTGTTCTAATCATCTCTGCTGAGGGCTGCTTGCAAGGGAAAGGAAGTCCAACTTGCAGGTGCCCCTGGCTCCCTCTCTATTTTGGCCCTGCCCAGTGATTCTGGAGCAACTTTGTCCAGCCTGGCTGGATGCATGCCTCCCATATTTCCCCAAATATCTTCTCCTTCTTATACTCTGCATCTGGGTTAGGAGGTACTAGCGGGTGAGTAAGCAGAAGTTGTAGATGGGTGATGGGCTTGCATGGCCTGTCAAAATGAAGGAGACTATTTAATGTAGAAGTTGTGAGGACTTGGGTGAGTTTCTGAGAGTGCCATTGTAAAATATCTCAAGGGACACATCCACCATTCTCATAATTCATTCTCCTGCCTTTTGAAGGCACTTTGTCTAAATTGTATTCCAGACAATTGGTTGTCTATTTTGTATTTAAAGATCACCAGGGAATAGTTCCCCTCTGTACCCCATTTCCAGCATCTCACAATCCTTTCGCTATAGTATTCATGCCTAGTGTCATTTTTATGATACTGTATCATTATATTTCCTAAAGAATATTAGCAAGAATGTTAAAATGGTTCAGGCTAACGTATATGCCTTTTTCTTTCAGAAATAAGTGAAACCAATGAATCTTTGAAAACCAAAATGTCTGAACTTCGCCTCTACTGTGACCTCTTAATGCAGCAAGTTCATACCATACAAGAATTCGTCCATCATGATGACAGTCATTCATCCCCCAGTGTAGAGGTATTGAGTGTAATGTTCTATGCAGGTCTGATCAAATTTGGAGTCACCTTGTAGGTGAGGTCCTTCCAATAAGAAATTCTGGGTCAAATCTATAGCAGAGTAGTATGACATCTAAACAGTCATCTAATCCCCTGGTTCTCATCCCTGTGAGGTACTCATTCCCTGTTGGCAGTCCTTTTTAATTATGTTAAAAAAAAAGTCATGCATGTTCCTCACATGGTGGTAGTTGCATTCATTTTGTATTGGAGCTAAATGGAGAGCAGCATGATGAGGCTTGGTATGTTGATGTCATACAATAACTGTGGACTCCCACACTGGAACCATTGTTCTAGACTGTATTTCCATAGCCAAAGCAAAGCAGGATCTATGGGGATCCGTGTTTCTGTGGTAAAATCAAATTTTCCACATAGCTGATCTGATAATTTGTGTAAAAAATACATTTCTATGTGGTTTCTGAGAATATTTCTGAAAATGACTTTAATATACTTTTACATTTCCCCCCCCCCCCCACAGTATTCTTAGAAAAGGGTCAGAATTCAGATATATAGGGTCTGGCTGCTAAATGGATACACATTTACTATTTCTGTTAATTAGCACATGCTAATTATGTGCTAATGATTTGAGTAAGTTCTGGGAGCCACATACCATTCTCCAAGTAGAGGGATGTTGGGGGAGTGGCTTTTGTTTACCTCTGTATTTGTTGTAAGTAGGAATGGAAAAAGCAGGGATTAAAGAAAATGAGAGTTTTGTCTTTTTTTCCCAACTCAATTCAATTAAAAATAATTATTAAGCACCTACTGGGTTTAAGACTCAAGAGACAAAGAAGGTGTTTGGTAGTTTGCTTATTTTGTTTGTGTATTTGGCCTGGTAGGCCCAAGTGGTTTCCCAAGCCATTGCATGTAACAGCCTCAGAACCATTTTCTCAATAAAGGCTTGTCAAAATTGAATTGAGATTTTTTTTTTTGATTGTGTGCACTAAGAACTAGAAACTTGTTTTCGTCTGTGTCAATTTTATGTAGAAGTATAGAAATTATTGCCTGAAGGTTTTTCAAATCATCACTATCCTAACTAGGCAGGAAAAGCATGTTTTTAAAGTTTGTGAATTTAGTTTCATTCATATATTATTTATTCAAGAAGAGACAGCTATTACTTACCTATCCACAGGTTGCTGCAATTTTCTGACACCCTGTACTTGGAAGTAAAATGTTCCCTCAAAGCAGTTTTTTAAATGTATTAATTGAAGGTAATGTTTTCCTCCTCGATTGTAATGTTGCCCCTTTGAACAAGATTCATTTATGTGTCTTTGACTTTACTGACCTTGACATTTGTGTGTCTGTTGATTTTTTTTTCAGAATATGAACGAAGCTTCATCTCTGCTTAGTGCCACATGTAACACATTCATCACCACACTTGAAGAATGTGTGAAGATAGCAAATGCCAAGTTTAAACCAGAGATGTTTCAATTGCCTCATCCAGATCCTCTGGTTTCTCCTGTATCACCTTCACCTGTTCAAATGGTTGGAGCATTTTTCCCCCAATGGGATTATTTCACTGTTTAGAGTTAGAGGGGGTGAAAACAAGTCAGTTTTCTTGTCATAGTTAGTGTCAAGCACATGAGTTCTGTACTCTGCGTAAGCACAACTGGGGAAAAAAAATGAAAAAAAGTTCTTAGGGGAAGTGTCAAGTGATATGAACTTGCGATCTGAAATTATCTAGCATCTCTGGAACAACGAGTACATTGTTTGGCAGGGTCAATTGGTTTGTTGTCCTTTCAGGGGTGATAAACTTGGTGTCATGTGAAAGTGGGGCCCAAGAGGTAAGATAAAGTCAAAAGAGGACCTTTGATTTTGTACTAAAAAGTACAAGATAATTTTCACAATGGGGAGCAGGTTGCATTCACAACATCCATTGCTACTGTTTTGGGAATTACCTGAAAAAATATTTGGAGAGATTTTGCAAGGATTTTTACTAAAATCTATGATATTTTGGACCACTGTATTCCATAGTTAACTAAGTTGGAGATTTGGTTCCCAAAAATGGTCTGTGTAGTGAATTATTCTTCATTTGATCAAGAAATATTTATTAAGCACCTACTGCTTGTCAGGTTTATGTTAAATGTATAATGCAGCTTTAGAAATATGCTTTCCAAAATCAAATCTATAAGCACATTTAAAGCAATCCTTTTATGGTGCTAAGATTTCCCCCCCCACCGCAATTTTTATCAACCCAGAGAAATTATTTGGAGACTTTATATGGATGGAGACCGGACCTCTGAATTCCCCGGTATAGTATAGAGAAGTTCCAGATAATGAAATACTTTCTACCAGGGGAGGCTGCAGACAAGAGTTGCACAGAATGAGCAGGCACAGTTGGGTTGTAATGTGAATCATTGGAAAGAATACCCGCCCTAATAAAATCATAGCTCCGTGGGAGTATTTAATTTTTAAAAATCTTTTCCTAGCAATCTCTTCATTGAGTTGGTTTACTAAAATTAAATTGGATGATTACATTTATAGTATTTACTTTTTTGGACCTATTTTGTATGTCTTTAATTTATTTCTTGTTTTTATTTTCCTTTTAATTTCTAGATGAAACGTTCCATCAGCCACCCTGGTTCTTACAGCGCAGACAGGTAAAACTGTCTTTTTTTTTCCCCCTCCATACTCATTCTTGCCCCATATTACCTATACAAGAAAGGCTTACAGGATCATAGGTTTAGTGTTGTAAGGGACCTTATTGTTATATTGTTTAGTTGTTTTCAGTCGTGTCCAGCTCTTTGTGACCCCTTTTTGGGGGTTTTCTTAGCAAAGATAACTGGAACAGTTTGTTATTTCATTTTCCAGTTCATTTTTACCAATGAGGAAACAGGCACAATAGGTTAAATGACTTGCCAGGGGTCACACAGCTAGTAAGGATCTGAGTCCAGGTATTCCTGACTCCAGGCCCAGTACTCTTATCCACTACACAGCTTAGCTGCCCTAGAAGGGACCTCAGAAGTCACCAGATACAACCTCCTTATTTTTTAGATGAGGAAATTGAGGTTGGTGGAGGTAAAGTTGCCCAGGAAAAGATTTTTAAAAATTAAGAGTCCCAGGCAGGACTCAAGCCCCAAGTCAGCCTGACTTCAAAGTTCAGTGCCCTGTCCATTACATCACCCCGCTTCTTTTGACATTAATAGGATTTGGTATGTAAAATGGCAGAGAGGCCATGTTATTTATCAGCCGATGGCTTTGTACATCCATCAAGTGCTTGCAAGTATCCCCAGCATTGATCAGTGGAAATTTGGTTGGAGCTTCTGGTCTCTAAAGCTGAGCTGTAGCTTATTGTATTTCTTAATCATATTAAAAGGTAAAGAAGTAATGATCATGGTAAAAAACTGCAATTTGAGAGAAAAACTCATGGATGTTTAAAAATAAACACTAATCAAATTGATGCCAGCAGATTTCTTTTTAGAAGTTTAGCTTTCTTAAATAACCTATTATAGTCCCAGGTTTTTAAGTTGGTCTGTGCAGCAGAGGAATTTAAACTTTTAACATTAGTCAAGTTTCCTTATTTGGTTCCTTATAGTAATATTTATCTCTCGAAATGTAAGTTTTTTGGTGTTCCATTATTTTATCTTTATAATATTTTTTTTGGTCTAAAATGATCTTTTTCTGGGTCAGCTGTGTAAAATGAAAATTCTAAAGCAAGTATGCTAGTTAAAGTTTTATTTGTCCGGCATTGTCAGGAAATAAGTAGCTCCACCTAAGTACGAATTTTTGTTTTTACATCACCTCCATATCCCATATATCCTTCCCCTAAGCCCTTCCAGAGAGCCAACTTGAAAGCAAAGAATTTTTGAAAAAAAGAAAAAGATAAAGAAGAGAAAAAAATCCAGTAACTTTAATTAATAAAAAAAAAAATCTGTTGTTATATGCATCTCTCACTTTAAGTGTCAATGCATCCTTTTATTTTGAACATATCTGATGGGAATTTTAATTGAATAAACATTTTGATGGTCTATTTTCATTCTTCCATACTAGGCAAAATTTATGGCACATAATTCATATTTGAATGACTTAGGGTCATTATGAATGTTAATAGTCGTACTAGAGTGATTCCTTGAAGCTACTGAGTTATGCAGGTTTAATGTCCCTGTTCCCACAATACAGTAGAAAGAGTATCATCAGATGTGGAGCTAAGGAACTTGGGGTCAGACCCTGGTTCTCCTACTTCATGCTTTTATGATCTTAGGTGAATCATTTCATCTTTCTAGACCTCACTTTCTTCATGTTTAAAATTGAGGTGTTGGCCTAAGAGATTACTAAGGGACCTTTCAGCTCTAAGTTTAGAAGCCTTTTATTTATCCTTTTGTCTCTGCATTGGCTGTCACGAGCATCTTTCAGGGATATCAGTACATCTAAATCTCAACACTTCCCATTCTTTCTTTACCTGTTGCTTCTTATTTACTGTTTCATCTGCCCATCTGTGGTTGGGAAACTAGACTACCGACCTTGTTTAGTCAAGAGCTTTATTTCACAGAATTCTGAACCAAAAGCATATGGTGGAAGGTTTTCAGAGGGCTACAGTGCCTTCTTTCAGAGAAAAGTTCTTGAATTTTGTGATGGCTATTTTCCATCTAGCTCAACTCAGAAAGCTGTTTTGGTTAGTATTTTAACATGAAAGGGATTTCTCTTTTACTTAAACAGAAGTAATTTAAGACTTCAAGCCAACTTAGGGATGTTTGAATTTGTTTAATTGTACAGTGAATCAACTTACTTTCTTGGTAGGAGTAGTCACACTGTAAAAGAAGCAGGGCCTTCACTTCACCGAATCTCCCAGCGGCGCAGAAGAACCTATTCAGATACAGACTACAATGATATTCCCCCTGAAGACCCAGATAGTAAGTTTGAAGGCAGCTGTAACTGCCTTTGGATTTTATTAGCATTCTTACTGTGATTCCTAGATTGATGCTGTTAAATGAAGGTACAGATTGTTATAGAACTTTGCATATATAAATACCTTTTTAAAATGAAAATATTTTCTGTACCTGGTCGATGATGTTTTTTAAATTGGAGAAAGAGAGAAAAAGAATGAATCTTAAATGAGTCTCTGAAACTAAGCTAATGAGCATTCCAAGTCTAGAGGAAAAGTCTCCATGTTGGTAGCATAATCAGTTGACAGGTGAGGGACTAGGCTTGTGATTTCATTGGAAGCTTCCTGATGAGGATTCTCCTTCTACCAATGCAGGTCAGCATATTCTCTGACTTTATTATCTTAGACTGTCTTTATTAATTGATTGTTCACTGCCATTTTGGAAGGAGCTCTCAATTAGAGCTTGTATCAGTGACTTTAAAGTTTTTATCTGTGAGCTTTAAAATTTACACAGCACTTTACAAATATTGTCTCATTTGATCCTTATAACAGCTCTGAAAACTAGTGGTGTTATTATTATTCCCTTTTTACAGATAAAGAAAATGAGTGACTTGTCCAGGGTCACTCAGCTAGTAAGTGTTTGAGGGACAGACTTGAATTCAGACTTTGCTGATTCCGGGTCCAGAGCTCTATCCAGTGTACTACCCAGCATCTCTCATTCAGTTATGTGTCAGAGGTAGAACTTTGTGAACCCAGGACTTTGTGGCTCCAAGATTGAGTCTCTCTCCATTATGCCATACTGCATGCCTCTCAGGTCTAATCAAATCATATTATTATTTATGCTGTAATAAAGTGTGTCTGTCCTGGTGAACTGGAAGAACATTCATTGTTGCCCTTTCCCAAAATTTTTACTATGTTTTGTGCCACTCACTTCCATATTTCATATGTAAAGGACTTGAATGATTTCTTTTTTTTTTTTTTTGTAAGGCAATTGGGGTTAATTGACTTGCCTAGGATCACACAGCTAAGTGAGTGTTTTGTGTCTGAGGCTAGATTTGAACTCGGGTCCTCCTGACTCCAGGGCTGGTGCTCTATCCACTGTGCCACCTAGCTGCCCCCTTGAATGATTTTCTTACAGCAGCTTGGGAAGTTTAGCAGGACTTGTTCCAGAGAATGCAGGTTTAGGTGTATTCACACCTGTTGGAAAGGTTTCATCCATTAATGATTGTTCACTGTCATCTTAGAAGCAGGTCTCAATTAGAGTGACCCAGAGAGCTGTGGTTGGCTTTGTACTGTTTTTTATTTTTACCAGTGACTTGGATTAAAGGCACTGATGGTCTGCTTATTAAATTCACAGAATGATACAAAGATAGAAGGAATAACCAGTTCATTGGGCTGAAATTTAATCAGGAGAAATATAAAGTCTTGTCGTTGGAATACAAAAAATTAACTTCACAAACAAAATTGGAGAAGAGGTGGCCAGGTAACATTGTCCTAAAAAGATCTTTGGGTTTTATTGGAATGCAAACTCATTGAGTCAAAAAAGTTAAGTTGATCTTGGGCTACATAGGAGAGGCATAACGTCAAAGACTAGAAATGGACTAGATCTATTATATTCTTCCTAATGAGACCACATTAGGAATCTTGTGCTTGTTTCTGGAAGCTATATTTTAGGAAGAACTTTGATAAGCTGGATAGCATCTAGGGGTAGGTAACCAGAATGGTTAAGAGCCTTGGTGTCATGCCATAGGAAGCCCACATGAAACTGGGCGTGTTTATCTTGAAGAATATAGGACTTCTTGGGGACGTGATAACTATCCTCAAGTATTTGAAGGACCATCATGTGGGTGAGTAGTTTAAAGTGGCCTACTTGGCTCTAAATGGCAAATTGAGAAATAGTGGTCAGAAGTTGCCAACAGGCAAATTTTAGGCTTGATATAAAACTTCTTTAACAATTAGAGGTTTCCCAAAGTGGGGTGGTTTGCCTTGAAAGTAATGCATTTCGTTCACCAGTAACCTTTAAGCAAAGATTGTCTGACCATTTCTTTGGTAAGAGTGGATGGGATTCCTATTCAAGTATGGATTGGACTAGATGTCCCTGAGGATTGGATATTGGGGGGCAGTAGTGTTGGAGGGCAAGAGGGTTGTATCTCTAAGATTCTGAATTAGAAGAAAAAAGTGGAGGAAGAAGATTTGAAAGGACATGTGCGAAGTGGTCAGAAATTGATTGTACTATGAGAAGTGAAGGTTGGAGGAAAGGAAAGAAGCCCAGTATTTGTATAGCCTCTTCAAGAGAGCAGGAGGTGGGTGGTAATAGTAGGGGAGAGCACTTGGATGAGATAGTTCTGCCTTTGCTAGTCACCAGGGCATCATAGACAGAAAATTATTTGTCTGTGGTCACACAGACAATATTAGTTGTGGAGTTTGCATGAAAACCAAAGCTTGTTGGTTCCTACCTCTTTTTTACTGTGTTTCTTCATGTTCTTAGCTCTAAAATGAAACCACTGTGTCTTTGCCATGGACATGTATCTGCTCCTGCTAATGCAGGCATATCCAAATAGTTCATCTAGTCCTGTCAGGTCATGATTGGGCTTTAAGATCTTTATTTAATAGTTTGCCTTTCAAGTCTTTGAGTTTTATTGACCCCAAGTGACCCTGCTCTTAATGTTAGCCATTTAACATTAAGTGGTACTAAAATTTTGTAATCCAGTTACAATATGGTATAACCTTGGTCCATCCATCCTGTAGATATTAGTCTTTGTGCTGTTGCCATGAAGCTGAGTATTTTCTATCAATCATTTTTTTAAAGTTTGGTTAAAGGCACTAAAACTATGGTTCAATTCTATGAAAAGCTTCTATTGAATCGTTGTATATAGTTCAGGTACTTCACTGATGTGAATCAGTTTAAAATTTGAAATCAATTAAAATAATAGAACTTTACAGGATGAAAGATTCAGAGCTGAAAGGGACCTTAGATCCCATTTAGTCCAATTCCCCTCATTTGCCAGATGAGGAAACTGAGGTTAAAAGGACCAATTTGGTCCTTCTGGGACCATTTGGAACCAAAAAGATATTGGTCTTCTCTTCAGGGTTTTTGGTTCACCATGTTCTGCCCATTGTTGTTTGAAGATTGTTTTGTTTGATGGAGAATACAGAAACAAAGTCAAAATTAAATAGTTTCTGATTTCTCTTTGTCATCTGTCAAAATCACATCATTTTCCCCAAACAGTAGGTTTGTCCCTTCTTTGTTCTTCATCTTGATCCTAATATAACTTTAAAAGAGTTTTTCATTGTACTTAATGGAAACCTTAACTTCCTGACTAAGGAATTAATTGATATAATTGACTTCCTGACTTTAAACTTTCTATTTGTACTTTTTATGCCACTTAAAAAAATATCCTTCATTTTTTTGTACGTACTTTTTAAAAATCTGAAATCACCATGGAACTCCCCGGCAGTCTTTATTGTTTTCCTTTCACAGTGGCATAATTTGTGATTGTATATTCAAAATTTCATTCCATAGGCATCCTTTGAAGTTGCATTCCATTTTAGATTCTTCAGTGATGGGATCATTCCTATACTGATCCTAAAATTTTTGAGATCTATTTTCTGAAAACCTGGGTACATCTAACTCTCTATAGGCCTGGCTTGAGACTTCTCTGTAGTTGGAGAGTAGTTGAAATGTTTAGCCACAGGCACCCTACTTCAGCTAACAATTGATTAATGACTCAGTAGGTGGCAGTTAGAGTGGATACCACACCAGTGGACTTTCCTTAGTTACCAGAGCTTCTGAGTAATTGGTAGGTAGCCTTTGTCATAAGGCTTCTTGTCCAAAAGGATTTTCACTTCTGGTGGTGTATAACTGCTTTTGTATTGGGCTCTGTTGGGTTCGCTGGCATTATTCATTGGGAGCATCAGGGGAAGACCTTGTTGCAGGGATTATAATCTAGAGCTAGAAGGGACCTCAGAGGCTGTCTAGTCCAGCACAGCCATGTTATAGATGAAGAAACTGTGGCCCAAGGTCTTACCCCCAAGGTCACAGAGGCAGGTTTTGAACCGAGGTCCACTTACTGGAGAGGCAATATGTTTTCCGTTATACTATACTTGCTTTCCTGTAAATGGTATGTAGTAATCTTAACTGATGGATAAGGGATTTAAATTAGTGACCTCAACTGCCTTCAAGCTGAGTCCTTTAATCATGTCTTGGAGTCTAGTTTTAAGTTTACCATTTTACTGCGTGTGACAACGTTTGGCCTTTTTTGGACTTAAGCTTCCTCATTTTTAAAATAGAATTGGACTAGATGTCTGAAGTTCTTTTCAATTCTAAAATTCTGTGATTTGACTGGGAAGTGCCCACAAAAGTTGGGTTTTTTTTTTTGGTATCTGTAAAATAAAAGTAACTTCATACATTTGTCTAAGAAACTAAACGCGAGTTTAAGATATTGTCTTTTCAGCAGTCTAGAAGGAACCATGTTGGAAGCATCCAAAAATAGGGAAATGAACTTAATTTAACTTGGTCTGTGTTGGAAGGAAAGTTTTAAAGTATTAATCCCTTTCTTAATAGGACCTGTTCACTGTTCAAGAAATATTCTCAATGGAGATTTGGCATCAGCAACCATTCCTGAAGAAAATAGAACCATGTCCAAAAAAAGATCTGAATTGGAAGATGTTCTTCCATCCTTCTCTTCCTGAGGAAACTGAAGTGTCTAACCTTCTCTAAGTATTGCTATGCAAAAGCTGCTGTAATTATATTGTTGTTATAGGGAGTAGTTTTTTCCCTTTACTTAGAAGGATTTCTCTGCACTTTATAGAATAATGTTAAAAAAAAAAACCCAACAATTACAAAAAACCTTTGAAGTGTATTTTATCTTTATATAGTTTATTTGCGAGAGTATTTTCCTAATAACTTCACAATATGAATGTGCATCTCTTTCTTTGAATAAATGATGGCTTAACATTTAGGCATTTATGAGGATAAATGTAGATATTTTTTTAAAAAAGTGTGAAGGACTGATGGCTTCGTCAGTTTGTATTGTCTCTTATAAACATGGAGCCTTTTGCACAGGTTTCATTCTGACAGAGGTGTGAAATATTTGATTGTGCCATGGACCAACTGGTCACTTACCCCGTTAAAAATGTGTGACTGTACTGGTGGGCAGTAATCACATTGTCCTCCTTGCAGAAAAAAAGGAACAACTAATAGCATCTTAACATATCTTTAGCCCAAGTGACATGACATATCAAGTATTTTTTTATAAAACCAGATTGTGTTGTCCTTCAGATGTGGGGATGGCGCTGCTGAATTGTTGATGCCAAACTGTTGATATGAAGTATTTAATTTTCATTTATTTATTACTTTCTGCTGCATCAAAAAGAGATAGCATTCTGATTTGTGACCAACCAAATTTAAGATGTGCATTTGTTGTTATTTGCATTGTACCAGAAAAAGAGTTTAATGTTGCAGTGAATTTACTCAGTTTAAAACAGAAATAAAAATCTTTTTTTTTTTTTTTGTGGAATAAGTTTTTGTGCTTGTTTCTAAAATAGCTCACTGAGCTGCTATAAGGTGTTCAGCTGTAAAAACTATTTAGAGAAGTTTTTTATTTGTGAAGTTTTTATAGAAAAAGGTCTTCTTTAATGTTACTACTTTGGAATGGTATTGAATCAGTAAACAAATAGTGTTTTTTCAGTGCCTGCTCATACTTATTGTTCATGTTGTCAGTGTTTGCCTTGTTACATGTTTCTTCAGTTAACTTTGGGGAGCAATTATTAACTACAATGTTGAACGTGAAACACTTTTTTTTTAAACCAAGAAAAAAATGATTAGGTATTTTAACGTTTTTCATTTCCTTTATTTGGATATCACAGGGTACATGTGAATGATGCATGTTTTTGATTCCTTTTTAAGGATCTGAGAATGGATTAGCGCATTTCCCTCTAAATTTTATCAAACATGAGGCTTTCTTTCTAAGTGAGTTTATGGCAGCTGCACTTAAATATATTTGTAGATCATTTGCATTTCTTTTCTGTGGTTTAAAATGGTCCTCAGTAATCTATGTATGGCAATATCCCAACTATTTTAAAAGTTGCCTTCTGCTCTAGTGTGTGAAGTTTGAATATTTCTCTGTACACATGGGGTCCTAAGGAGCAAGCTTGCTAATATTGAAACTACAGAGATACTTCTTGGTCTGGGTTCTCTATGCCCTGCTTATAGCCTCTCTCTTGTTAGGATGGTTTTTATTCTACATACGTTTTTTCACACATGGTAATAATAGATAAGTTCCCCTGGTCAGTATGAGAAGCCTTCATTCATTTACCTTCTGAATATCACTTCATCCTCAAATGTGAAAACAAGTCCTTCATTAAACTAACATTGATTTTATAACTAGTTTTTAACAAAATACTTGCACAGTAATAAATAAAACCATAAAGGCTGAAGTGATAGAGTGGTTTTTGACAGTCTTTTTAACGTTTTTCTTATTTCTGTGCTCTCCTACCTCTACCACCAACTATTCCAAAAATCTTAGTGCATTTTTAAGCTTTAAAAAAACCCCCACCAAACTTTAAAACGTCACTAAGACTTTTGGGACACCCTGTATTTTTATGCTATTCAGTAGGTAAGCTCTTGAAAAGTCTTGAGCAAGCGAGCTTTCCAGATTGTTATACTTTTCTTTTCAGGTAGTTATTATGAAAATGTTGGCTGAATTCTTAAATATGCTTTTTTGTTGTGACGGGTTTTTTTCTCTGAAATTAGGAGTCTTTGGTGACACATAAAGAGCAGTCCTACCAGTGAAGCAACATATTGAATAGTCCCCTGAAAAGCTTCAGAGATCCTTTCCTTTGGGTAGGCGGAATGGATTCTGGGTATTTTTCAGGTTTTTTCCCACCTACTTTCAAGGTAGAAAGCAATGTCATTGCCTCATAGTTCACACACCACTCTTTTCCATTTTGAGTTTAAGTTACTTTTGTTTCCCGTAGATTCAGTATCAGGGCTTGCTTTGAAACCTGCTAGATTTCTCTATACTTTATAACCACCACATGTGATTGGTTCTTAACTATAAGATCTTAGATGTAAAACTATAAAGGGCCTTTGAAGGAAGGACACCCTAACTTTACACATGAGAAAATCATGGCCCAGAGAGGTTTAAGAATGACTTACTCTGGGGCAGCTAGGTGGTGCAATGGATAGAGTACCAGCCCTGGAGTCAGGAGGACCTGAGTTCAAATCTGGCCTCAGACACTGGACGTTAGCTGTGTGACCCTAGGCAAGTCACTTAACCCCAATTGCCTCACCAAAAAAAAAAAAGAAAAGAAGAAGAATCACCCTGGGTCACAAAAGTAATAGGTGGAAGGACCATGGGTTTAAACCCTTGTTCAATACCCTTGTTCACTGTCTCCCAGGACAGTGATAAGTGGCGATCATGGCGATGGGTACCAGGTAGAGTAGTCTTTTGGTTTTCCCAGGAGTGGTGCTTTTTGAGAGCCCTGGAAGTATTAACTCAGCAGCTTTTAGCCTATTGGTAAAGGAACCCCTGCTTCAAATCTTTTTGTAAATGCCTTTGTTAATTTTTCCGTGCTGTATTATCTCAAAATAGGACTTGTGTAAAAAAAAAAGCATGTGACTCACAAAATTGAATTTCCAAGGCAAAAAGGATACTAAATTATTCTTCAGCAGATGCCTTGGAATCTTTAAATTATCTATAGTGCCAGTTATTCATCTTGACTGTTTTCACACTTAGCACATTGAAGGTAAGTTTCCAAAAGGTACTGAAAAAATAGCCGTGTGATAGGCTAATAATGTGCTGCATTGTATTAGTTATCTCCATATATGATGAATTCAGCTTCCCCTATCATCTGGACTCGCTCCTTTCCCCTTTATTTTATCATAGATCAGAGCCTCAGTGTCATCCTGGACTCCCCTCAGCCCACGTAGCCAGTCTGTTGACGGATCTTGCCGTTTCTAACATCACAACATCTCTCCCTCTCACGCTGCCTCCACGCTCACCCCTACCACCTTTGTCTGAGTCTCTCTTAGAGTATTGCATCAGTTGGGCTCCTGGTCAGTCTTCTTGCCTCAAGTCTGTCACCATCCCAGTCCACCCTTTGATACACTGTTGGCAAAGTAATTTTCCTTAAGAATTGATCTGATCATGTGATTCCTCTACTCTCAGTGGACTTTCCCTGTTGCCTTTAGGATAATATAGAAATGGTTCCATATAGCTTTAAAGCACCACACAATCTAATCTTGCTTTTTTCTTCCCACCCTCGCTGGACATTACTGCCCAATGGCCTTCTCTCGGTTCTTCACACACAACATTCCATCTGTTCTCTCTGTGCCTTTGCAATGACTGTCCTCTATGCCTGGAATGCAATTCATTTTTTCCCTCTCTCCTTGATGGTGCATCTGTGGCACCATCTCCTGCATGAAGCCTTCCTAGATATCCCGCCACTGTTAATGTTCTCCCTCCCAAAGTACCTTGTATTTAACTATTTTGTGTATATTCATATTTAATAGCAGCACAGTGCCTAGCACACAGTAAACACTTAATACTTGTTGATTGATAGATTGATAAGACCATAGATTTAGAGCTGGAGGTCATCTTATCCAACTCCCTTATTTTGCTGATGAGGAAACTGAGGCCCAGAGAGGTTGTGACTTGCCTAAAGTCACAGAGCTGGGGTATTAACTCAGATCCTCTGACTCCCAGCACAAGACTCTTTCCGCTGTATGTACCCTGTTGGTGAATCCTTCTTTGTATGCTTTTAACCTTACCGTTTCCATTGCTTGCACGAAGACAGCCAGTTGAGATTTTGCTGAAACTCTGTCAGTGAGTGATGGGGTGGTCGTCATCTGTTTCTCAAGCCCTGGGCCAGAGAGGTCCAAGCTTAATAGGGTTTCTTTTCTTTCTCTTTCTTTCTTGCCCCCCAACTCTCCATATTTGGGTCACCCTTTGAATTTTCTCTACTTAATTCTTAATGTATGTTTTGGTTAAATAAATACTCAAATTTGCTTTTTAACTTATATTCAATGTCTAATACTTTGTGAAAAAAAACCAGCCTTTCAAAATTGCTGTAACAATTTGTAATTCAGTTGGATTTCTCACTCTTCCACACAGCAGTTATTTGGAATTAATGTATGTGACTATGCGACCCTTAATTTAGTCCAGCAACACCTTTCATGAAAACACATCTGCCTTAGGTGAGGCAGCTAGGAGTGTTTGTTGAGAGGAACCTGTTGGTGAGTTAGGGGGATGTCTACCACAGGTATGTGAAGATGTCCCCCAGCAGAATGGGTGGATGAGATCAGTTTGTTCCAACAGTCATGAAGGTGACCGAAGCAGACCTGTTGGATCACTTAGAGCTTGGTCAGACATTGAAGATGCCAAGGTTATCCATTGCATCCTGGGCCATTGCCAGTCACCTTAACTTTTGTCCTACCACTGGACTTCATTTTAATACAATATTGTAACATGCAAACAAGAGGGGACAAGTGGAATGTTAGCCAACATATTTTTAGCCTTAAGTGAATTAGCTATCTTTTAGCATGTGTTATGAACTACCATAAAGGAATATAAGCCTATTTTTACAATAGGTTTAGTAGCAAGGTATTCTGGCAGTTTAGTTTTGAGCTCCTTAAAAATTTTACTCCAGATTAAACCTCTGTACTCTGCCCATATATTTCCTTTGAAATTCCAACTTTAAATTTTAACCTTAAAAAATGACAGTTTTTTAAAGTGAATTTTGAACATAGTAATTTTAAAATTGTTTTGTTCTAAATCATTCTTTGTATTTTAAAGGTTTAAAAAAATTAAAAACTATTTGTGCTCAAGCTAACTGTAATCTAGCAGTTTGGAATACATTCTTTTCAAAAATGTGATAAATTTCTAGTTGTGTCTGGATTAGTGAGTGGAGCCATAGCATAGGATTCTTGTTCTTCAGCGTATGAAGGAGGAGTTAGGGTTTACAGGCTAGAAATAATGGCCCTGTAAAATGGGAAGACTATAGAGAGGTAGGTTTCCACTGGCAAAAGGATATGACTCTTTTTCCAATTGATTAACATTTGGTCCATGTGATGGGTGGCTCCAAACTCATCTCATCTTAAAACTTAGAAATTTCCTTAGAAATGGAATGAGCAGTTGCTCAATTTGAACAGTCCCATAATTTGGGTGACCACCAAAATATCTGGGACCTTTAACACAAATGTATTAAAGAATTTTATAACAGATGCAGGGTGTGTGTTTCTCCAGTGCTATCAAGTTATGAGCATTGTCATTCAACTCCTGCCTTGGAGTGGGACACGGCCTCATCATCTTCTCTGACCGTTTACCCTGGAGTAGAAGTGTGTCTCTTCTATTCCAAGTAAAATCCGAAGGGTTTTTCCTAATCCTCATTCTCCCTGATCTCCCTGTAGCCTTTGACACTGTTGATCACCTCTCTTCCTTTGATCCTTTCTTCTCTCTAGGTTTTTGGGACATCCTTGTGTCCTGGTTCTCCTGCCTATCTTCCTGCTCCTTCTCTGTCTCCTTTGCTGTATCCTCCTTACTCGTAACTGTGGATGTCCTTCAGGGTATGTCCTGGGCCCTTTTTTCTTTTCCCTTTGTACTACTTCACTTGGTGATCTCATCAGCTCCCATGGATTTAATTACCATCTTTATGCTGATGATTTTCAAATCTACCTATCATTCCCTA